AATAGTTTTAACTTTTTTTTCAAACCTTGTTGCGTAAATATGACAATGTGATTTGATTTGTAATGTGAAACCCTGTGCATTCGCCTAGTCTTACAGTAGTCACAGGCGCAACTTCATTAGTGTACTGTACAGTACGTGGGGTTTCTATACTGTATCGGTGGCCTGGTCGTTCGTGACCCGGAAGAGCCTCGCAGAGAAGACCGTGATTCCTCGGATATAAGGTTCAAATCACCCGATCAATCCAATAACCAATACTGTCCTTGTTTGAGAGTGGTCCTACTGAGTCCAAGTAGGTATGTGTGAGTGAAGGTCTGATTAATCTCTCTATGATCATGCTCAAGTAGCTCTTCCACAAGGATTCTCCAGTAGGTCAATTAATATGGGCTTTATTTCCGCTCTCTCAGACAAGAAAGACGACCCTACTGGGCAACGATTTAACCACCACAAATCCTTATGGCAGCCTTCTTCTCCTCTCTGCAGTTCTCAACATCACTTCCAGTTCTGGCTGAGAGCGTGGGTCATTAAATGAAAATAATGGTCCAGCATTTTATCATCATTATTGGGATCTGTACTGCAGTACTCTTCTTGTGGGTCTCCACTTGAAAATAACCCCAGAATATCTCACCCGGTCTCTAAACTGATGCTAATGGCTTCTGGCCCAAAACTTCTCACACCGCGCAATCGTCATCCATCCATCGAGCCAGCTGGCACGCAAGGACCGCCAGGCATTAAAACAAGATCCGTCACTGATCCCTGTCTCGGGAGCGCTGTGGTTAAGGATGGGTGGGTAGACTATCGGGTAACCCCAAGGTTCTGTTTCCCCGGTGAGCGCCGCATGCTCTTCGTGCAAGCCTGGCCGTCCACGGGGCGGTTCATGCGCAAGGAAAACCCCACCCCGGCTGAATTGCGATACCTGGGGTTTGATCCCTCTTCGTCAAAGTTGTAGGTGCCGCGATCACCGTCGCAGACGGAGGAGGATGCCTTCACCAAACAACTGCGACGGATCGGTGCTTTGGAATGGGAGAATGAAGACAGGTGCGAGGAGGCGTACTTCGGCGATTCGCTGGACATATGCCTCCGCAGATTTCGACAGGCAAACTACGGGTGGCCTTCGAGCGGCAAGGGGCTCTGGACGTGGGAGTACGATGCTCACCCACGCCGGTTGAAACAGGAGGCCGAGCAGCGTGAACTGCTGGCTGCGCTGAAAGGGGCTCAGGAGATGGATGAGCAATGCGTGATTCTTGAGCGATTGGGGCTGTCAAGTTTCTATGAGGATCCAGCGGACTATCTCCGGCTTGCGGACCTTTACAGGGTCAGAGGCAGAGGGAGAGTGTATGATATGAGGGAATACGACGAATGGCGGTCATGGTGAACTGGAATGGGGAGTATCTACGGGTCAGTGGAGGGCCGTTCGTGACCTCCAGTATCCGGACCAGAACACCAATAACTTAGCATCGAGCTTGGAGTCGGGTATAGTACTACAAATATATATGAACTTCAATACTATAATCGCCAGGATATCTGAATCTAAGATTAAAAACAGTGTTTTATTTTTGCTTTGTCATATATAGCCTTTAGAAAGTCCCAATTAATGTCTTTATTCTAGTAAATTTGAGACAGAGCAAGCACAATATTCAGATATTGATTAAGAGTATATGGCACCCGAAAGGTGCACTGCTAGCACTCTGAGGCGATGTAAATCAGAAAGATATTTGACGATAACGCGCAAACCATTGACAATACCGGACGCAGTATGGATAAGTAGCATGAGTTTCAATGTTACGTGCGGAGTGCAGCATCAACATGGCTAACTTCCCCTCACTTCCCCCCTCGAGAAAGCCACATCAGTCAACCCGGCATAAGACAAGCATCACATCGCGCTCACCATCACATGTAGTACTCACCTCAATGCTCATCCAACATCTCACCGATAAACTAAAGTTCTACCCCGCAAGACGAAAGGCCTGGGAAGACTTGACCGAGAGTCGACATTGAATCTGGAACCATGCGACCCCTCTCCATCCAAGCCAGAAGCTCAACTCCGAGCTCATCGAGCCACAATGCTGGAGAAAGGAATTGAGGACCGGCGATTATCGTCATGGGCCATCATGGTAAATCTACCATGGTTAATCTCCAAGTTGATCTATATAATGACCCTTGAAGGATGGACAAATTCGAGAAATCAGGACATCAGTGTCTCCCGAAGTCATCGACGTTTCCAACTTTCTTTCTATAACCCCATCACGCAAAACACCAGCATTCTGTCCTTCATCAATCTTCTACGCAAGACCTCCAAGCCCCCCACCAAAATGCGCGGAAAGGTCACCATCGAGGAAGCCTTCGAGATCCCGTCCGAGGCGGATCAGAGCCGCGACCAGGCGGCGATCTACGTGGCGCCGGACGACCTGGAGCGCTACCTGCGGCAGATCAAGTCGATCACGGGGGAGCGGCTGAAGATCTCGGAGGACAACGGGATCGGGTACACGGTGCTGTCGCTGACGGTGCCGGGGATCCAGGGGATCCGGGAGCGTGAGAAGGCGGAGTCGCACGCGCGCGAGGTGAACAACTACATCGCCGACAAGATTAAGGACCACCGCGACCGGCTGGGCGCGTTCGCAGCGCTGTCGATGCACGACCCGGCGCAGGCGGGCAAGGAGCTGCGGCGCTGCGTGAAGGAGCTGGGCTTCCACGGGGCCCTGCTGAACGACGTGCAGCACACCAACCAGCGCGGCCGCTGCCTGTACTACGACCAGCCCGAGTACGACGAGTTCTGGCGCGTGGCCGTCGAGCTCGACGTGCCCATCTACCTGCACCCGGCCGCGCCCACGGGCGACAACTACAAGGAGCACTACGAGAACCGCAAGTACCTGGTCGGCCCGCCGCAGAGCTTCTGCAACGCCGTCGGCCGCCACGTCATGGGCCTCATCACCAACGGCGTCTTCGACCGCTTCCCCAACCTCAAGCTGATCCTCGGCCACCTCGGCGAGCGCATCCCCTTCGACTTCTGGCGCGCCAACCACTGGATCAACGACGTCGAGCGGCCCCTCGCCAAGAAGAACGGCGACACCATGTGCGAGCGCGACGTCCTCCACTACTTCAAGAACAACATCTACGTCACCACCAGCGGCCACTTCAGCACCAACACCCTGCGCTTCGTCGCCGAGGAGATCGGCGTCGACCGCATCATGTTCAGCGTCGACTACCCCTACGAGAGGCTGGAGAACGGCTGCGGTTGGTTCGACAACAACTCCGACGAGCTCAAGAAGGTCCTCGGCGGCCGCGACGGCTATCTGCGTGTCGGCAGGGACAACGCCAAGAACGTCCTCAAGCTCTCCAAGTTCAAGGACTCCGACGCCCCCGTCTGATCTGGATGGCTTTTTAGGTGTCAGCATCAACTGATTTGCCTGCTTGCTTTCGCTTTTGCTCGATTTCGAGTCTTGACTTCTCTTTTCTTCGTGTCTTTCATTGTTTCGTTTGTTGCTCGTAGGCTGAAAATTGCGTGGAACATGCGCTGAATCAGGGGTGGGGGCGGGTTTGCTAAGACTGTGAACACTCCTTACTTAGGTAACTCATCTAGTAAGTAGGAATAATGCATTGTTTGTTTGCTTGCTTGCTTGAATCATGTGGGAACGTTACTCATCGTATTGTACAGCTCGTAACAGCCGTTAGAGTAGCACAAACACACTTGATTCTTAGAAGATAGGGCTCGCTATTCACAAATAACAGGGGAACATGGCACGTGGTACTCTGAGCGCTCTAGCATACGTCTGGTCCTCTCAAGGCAACGCTTTGGATGCCCCGTCAAAGACAGAAGCATTGGGTTAATTCGACTGTTTTGTAATCCAAGCGCGACTAAGGCAATCTGACGAGGACAAAGTAAATTGATTCATCGATCTTCTTTGCAATAATATATAGACTCCCATGTAAGTCATCTTTGCTAGACATACGATCCAAGTTCAAAAACTCAAAGTTTCGGCTTTGCCACATATTTGCCCTCCGTCCCATCCAACTGCGCTTCCAACACAGCCGTGGTGCCATTCTGCACACTCTTGATGGCCTCGGGCAGCAACCGACGGAGCTCCGCAACCGTTGACGCCTGCGCCGCCCAGAATTGACCTCCCGAGGCCGCCTTCGCGATCCCGGGGTAGTCCGGAGTGGGCGCGAAGGAGATGTTGAGGTCTTCGTTGGTGGCCCGGGAGCCGTCACCGTTGGGGTGCACCAACAGCATACTCCTCCGCGGGGCATTCCAGCCCTTATTGTTCAAGACAATTGTCAGGACGGGGATATTGTACCGGCGCGCCACCCAGTACACGGAGCCAGGCACCGAGAAGAGGTACGTGCCGTCGCCTACGATTTGACAGACAAACTTGCCCTTGTTGTTCCCCCCGTGTTCAAGATCGGTCGCGAGCTTGATGCCCAAAGAACCGCCACCAGACCATCCAAGACCACCGCCGCCGCAATTGATCCAGGATTTGGGGATAGTTGCCGCGATTTGATCGGAGACGATCCCAGTCAGCGTCACGGACTCGATCGCCCAGATGGTGTCAGCAGGACAACCTCCCCGGAGCTGGGAGATGAGATACGACGCGTTCAACGGCGCCCCGTCCCCGCCTGCTGGGACCACGGCCATATCGGCGATTGCCTTGCGCGTTTTTCTGAATTCTTGCTCACGACGTTCGCCTCGCGCCTGGTTCTCTGCCGTGTTGATAGATTGTTGTAGCTTATGGTTGGATGCAATAAAGTCGTTGACCTGCTTGAACGCCGTTGCAGACTCCGCCCGGTAAGTTGCACTCGAGTTGATATAATGCACAGGTATCTGTTGCTTGAGAGGATCCACGTCGACGTGGACAATTTTGGCGGTGTCGGAAGGCTTGCAAATGGTAGGAATCCATGGTACGTCGCAATCGGCAACCAGAATAAAGTCAGCCGTCTTTATGGCATCGTGGATTCCAAATCGCATTCCTAGAGATGCTGCATGATCACCTGGGAAGCACATGTCGCAGCCACCAGTATCTAGAACGCGCAGGCCCTTGAATGTGTCGGCTAGAGTGACCAACTCCTTCACTGCCTGGGGGTTGCGGCCTGAGTATCCTACGATTGCCAATGGCTCTTTGGCAGCCGCAAGCTCAGTAGCAATCAACTCCACTCCTTCCGAAGGTAGTGCTGGTGGAGCAACTCGTACCCACTGGCTTTGATTGATAGAGTACGGGGTTATTTCCTCCTCCATGACTTCTCGAGCACCAGCCAGGTAGACAGGGCCCTGAGGGTCGCTTGTGGCGAACTGTAAAGCCCGATTCACCATCTGTTTGATGTTCTTGCCCGAACGGATTTCTCCAGCATAACGACAGTACTGAGAGACGATCTGCTTCTGGTCCGGAACATCTTGGATCCAGTGGATGTATTCGGTGCGAGAACCCCGCATCTCACCCTCAATTGTATAAGGAGAAAGACCGGCAAAGATCAGAACCGGAGCACGACCACAGGAAGCGTTGTGGATGGCTGCAGCGAGACCTTGCGTGCCCACATCGACGTGAACAATCACACATTGAGGCTTGCCAGTCAGACGCGCATAGCCATCGGCCATGGAGAGAGCCACCATCTGCCAAGAACGAAGGATTGCGGGGTTAGTGCGGATGTGCTTGAAGCCGAGAGCCTGGCGATAAAGAATCAACCCACCTCATTGGGACATGTTACAATCTTTGGGAACTCGGTGGGTTTCTCTTTCTGGCCTTTGACCATGGCTTCTAGGATTGAGGGATGATCGGAGCCCAAATTCACGAAGACATGAGTGACGCCGGCCTGTCAAGTCAGCTCCTGCTGTGAGAGATGTGGTCATCGAGGTCCAAATTAGCATACCTCCCACAGAGCCTCGAAGAAGGCAAAAGATGCAGTGTAGACCCTGCCGCCGGAGAACCGTCAGTGATTGCCCGCTTGCTTGGATATTCATTCATGAATTGCACCTACATGGTGATGACTTCAATCAAGATCTGGGGTTCAGGATTCGATATGGATGAGAACAAGCGGGGGAAGTGGGATGTAAGGGGGATGTAACAGAGAAGAACGCATTTTGACTGATTGATAAAGTAAGGGCTCGGGTTGAAGTCCGAGAAGTGGAGCTTGAGCCCGAGGTTAAGATGGGACGATGGAAGGTGGATTGTAGATTGTGAGTGAGGGGAAATGATGGAATTGACTTTCTGAGGTATGAGTAAGCCACTTTGTAGCAGCAGTAAATCTTCTAAGCGAGGAGGGAAGGAGAAGCATTCTGCCGTACCACCCCTTCTTTCCCCGCTCGCTGCACTGGATTCAAGTACGACTACACCACTGTACATATATAACATATGCACTGACCTGCACCAATATTCTCCGAGGAACTCGACTCTTTCTTACATCAGATGCAAATCAGCCCTATGCAAGTTGTTTGCCGGGTTCCCGCCCTTTCTTGGAGCTTGTTTCCAGAGCCAAGCCGGTTACGAGTGGAATGGATCCATCTGGCACTGGGGCCGATGACGTGGTGGCTCAGCCCAGCAAGACAATACTGCTCCCATTTTTCGTCATTTCCATGTGCAACTGTGAAAGCAACCCCTGCAATGTGCAGCTTCCATGGACTTAAAGGATCCATTATCACTACTAATTATCCATGATAGCGTACGAACCATCGCACCAGAACACAGCTTAGGTAAAAGAGATTTGGTCAGTCACATAAATTAGTCGCTGACATGCCGCGTAGGCATCACAATACTAGCACTTCTACTTTTACGTCACAGTTTGCTGGTGCGTCGGTGATTATTTATGGCGGCGCTTTTGCGACCGGACGATGGTGCCTCATCCACTTTACTGCTCTATATTAAGCTATCTGGGGCCCTCTTCTCTATATGTCTGAGTACCACTGTTATCTGGTTTTTTCGTCAGCCCAAAAGTCCCAATCAGTTTCGCACCAACATGCTACCGGACAGTGTTTACAGACTCTGCCATGAAGATCAGACCGTTACATCCGAGCTGTTACGTGATCCCTCACAGTCACCCCCAAAAATCTTTCACCGCCTCTACAACGATCACAAATCCAAAAATCATACCGACTCAAAGGAGTCCTTAACCGATAGAGATGAACTGCAAAAGGCAGCGGAGTGCGGGAATTGGGGTAATTCCCAGCCAAGCATGCTTTTTCTTCAGGTCAGTCAGCTCGATAACCTTCGAGATAGCGGGGGATGATTGCTGACTAGACTACTGTGATGCAAGATTTATCACGATGCTCTCTGTGCGTTAGATAAGAACCCAATGGCGGGCGTCGTCTCTCCGCCATTAATGGGAAGTCATGGTGTCGTACCTTTGACCATTATCGCTCCCTTGCCAGATTTGTGTCGACACATGGCGAATTGCATCGTGCGTGCGGAGAAGGAGGTCTTTCTGGCAACTAACTTCTGGATCCACTCCGACGCATCCACGCTTATCACCAATGCATTCCGTGAGCTTTCCAAAAGAGCAGGCGAACGCGGTGAGAAGGTGATTGTGAAGATGGTGTACGATCGGGGTGATCCGCAGCAGCTGTTCGAGAACCATCTGCCCGTACCCGAAAAGAAGTACAGCGGCGGGAAGGTGAAGCTCCCCTCGTCCGAGGAGATCCCTAATATAGACCTGCAGGTCATTAACTACCACCGACCAGTGTTTGGTACATTCCATGCCAAGTTTATGGTCGTTGATCGTCGAATCGCGCTGCTACAGAGCAGCAACGTCCAGGACAATGATAACCTGGAAATGATGATTCATGTCGAGGGGCCCATCGTCGATGGTCTTTACGATACAGCATTGATCTCTTGGGGTCGGCCCCTGGAGCCCACTCTGCCGATGCTCGCGTCGCCAGCCACGGGTGCTGCGATCCCCTGCCAGTCGACCGTGGAGCTGGACCATGCAGCACCGGCACGCGGTCCTCTTCCTGAGCTCACCGTACAAGAATCCCACTATGATACGAATCTAAAACATGAAGCAGAGCGAATGAATGGGTTACTTGAGCCTCGTGACGGTGAAAACAAAATTCAAGCTGTCACTCGTCGTTTGAGTATGTTGATCCTCGCAACTCTCATTGCAGATTGCTGACCGCGACCAAGATACTACGATTCAGCCAAATACGACGGGTGACGCTTCGGAACGTGATCAAGAGCTTCAGATGCAGCCTTATATTGTTCTTCCGCCCCATGATCCTTTCCCAATGGCTGTAGTCAACCGAGAACCTTGGGGGGGTAAGTCCAGTCGCGCGCCATTAGCAGTAGATTGTCACTAACGAAGCGATACTAGCACCGAACCACACGAGCGTTCATACCCCTCAGAACAGCAGTTTCCTCGCCGCCATTCATAATGCCCAAGAATCGATCTTCATTCAGACTCCGAACATGAACGCGGAACCCATCGTTCAGGCTCTGCTGGAGGCTATCAAGACTCGCGGCGTAACGGTCACTGCATACTTGTGTCTGGGCTACAATGACGCTGGAGAGCTACTTCCGTTCCAGAATGGTACAAACGAAATGATCGCGCATCGGATGTACAAATCGCTGGAGACCGATGAACTTCGCTCCCGACTTCGAATCTACAACTACGTCGCCAAGGATCAGACCAAGCCCATTCACAACAAGTTCAAGCGACGCAGCTGCCATATCAAGTTAATGATCATTGATGATAAGGTGGCCATCCAGGGTAGGTCTCACATATCAGACGTTTTTGTGTTGCGACCATGAGTTATTTCTGATCTAACATCATCATTCAGGAAACGGCAACCTCGACACACAGTCCTTCTACCACAGCCAAGAAGTGAACCTCCTTCTCGACTCACCGATTGTCTGCCGAGCATGGAGGGAGGCTATTGACCGCAACCAGAACACGGCTCTGTACGGCGCAGTCAGCCCGGAAGATGGCTGCTGGCATGATCCTACCACCAATGAGATTCCCGAGGGATCCATTGGCACTGATCCTGGTCGCTTCAGCTGGGCGAAGGGCGTGGTTGGCGCTGTTCAACGTGTGCGTGGTGCAGGAGGATTTTGATTAACCCTATACTTGCTAGCACTTTACGACATCTTGTTGATATATACTCCTCACTGTCTAATTTCGGATCTTTTCTGGTGTATATAATCTTTTGACCTGTATATGCTAATGTGAACAAGAAGCTGCAATTTCGATCGGGGCCATGCTTTTGGTGAACTAAAGTCTTGTTCAAAGCTCCAAGTCTATTTAAACTTTCTCGACATGCCATAAATTACATGTCAACAGACCAGGCCAATAGCCATTCTTCTGAAAGCCATCTTCTCAACAGGTGAGAAGGAGTGGACGTAGTTCGTGTCAGGTCTGGCTCTTTCGGGCCTGGGGAGGCTCTGGGCTACATGGCTCTGTGCGAGTCTAGAAGAGAAGACTACGATGCATTACTGTGTCTTTGGGTGGTGGTCCACGGTTCGGGGTGTTATTACTTCTTTGGGTGAAAGTCGAGGCCAGTCAAATTTCCGACTCCCATGACTGAGCGGAGCTCCCGAACTGTCCTCGGTCGGTTTCAGTGCTAGATCTTCATGAGAAGCACCAGATGGTTCTGCATAAGGATTGCTTACAGAGACAAGACAAGCAAACATATGAGAAGCTTCTATCTCAAGTTTTTCAATCCATGATTGACTAACTAATCAGGATCAGCTAGAACCATATACATCCACACGGGGTGCGCAGTATAGGTATAAATATTGCCCGTAGGGCTGAGCAAGGACGGTGGGTGTACAAGCCCAGAACAGGGGAAAAGTCTACTACCCTACAGGTCGGTTCGACTCCGGGAATGAATACCAGGTAGCTGAGCCGACAACACGGTCGCTGGGCCCGGTCTACAATCTTCCATTATTCTACTTATCTCTTCCTTTGGAATTGGTAGTGATAGGGTTGTTGCTCCGTCTAGTACGCTACCGCCAGAATCTTAGGCAAGAGTGGTTGGTAACTTCACGCAGAAAAAACAGCATATGCAGGGTGACTCCAACTAGCTTCAAATCACACCGTAGTATCCTAACTACCTACTTACCTCTAACCAAGGTCCTCAAAACAATCAAGAGTGAACACGCCCATGATCTTCACCATCCAGGCAACCTGCGAAAGGCATAACTTACAAATCACGAAACGTTCCCCACCCCCTGCAACGTCAAATACACATCCGTGCCCCAGCCCCAGAGACTCTGAATGGCAATACTGCCCCCAAAGTACTCCGCGTACGCGCGACTCAACGGCAGCCCGTACCCGAGTCCGGCGATACTGCTTAAATGTCCATTGGCTCCTCCACCACTGGTGGACGCAATCGTGTTCAGCGCCTCCATGCCTTCGTTGCTCTCCGAGCCCCCGTTGTGCTCATCGTACTCTGAGAATGTCGTGAAGCTGTACGACCAGATATTCGGCAGCACTTCGGGAGGGATGCCGCCGCCGCGGTCGCGAATGCGGATCGTGATGCACTGCGCGGACGGCGGCGTGGTCCAGGCTTTGATGGATTCGTTGGCGTCGGCGGTGCCGACGACGGTGTTGTCCATTTCGAAGCCTAGGTCTGCCTCGGATTGTGGGGGGCACGGGTGTTCTTGTTGCAGTGGTTGTTGCTGCTGCCAGCCTTTCGTGGTCATTCTGGCAAGGGGATCATGGTGGTGATGATGGGAAGAGGGGACGTCCGGGGCGGCGGCGATGGTGACTTCGATGGGTTCGTGGCCGTTACCGGACTCGACGGTCGCGCGGAAGGCGTTCTTCAACAGCTCTGTGAGGATGTATTCCACGTGGACCGGGACGTGCGCGAACGAGGCGTCCGGCTGGCCGCCGATGACGAGCCGGGGCCGCACGCCGTATTTGAGTTCGCAGATCTCGCCGACGAAGTCCTCGCAGAGCTTGACAATCCGGGCCGGTTGCAGGGCGGTGTCAATCACTCCGATGTAGTTGGACGGAGCCGCGGCAGCGTCCTTGGCTGGTGGGGATGATTGCGGTTCTCGTTGTCCCTTGGGCTCGTGGTGGCTATCCCGGATTGGCTGCGAGGCGAAATGAAGCGCCAGGTGTTGCTCGGCGATGAGGCGGGTGCCGATGCGGGCGCGGAGGTGGGTGTCCAGGAAGCGGGTAACATCGGTGGAGTCGATGTAGCGGCGACATTCGAGAAACCCGCGCGCGAGGATCGGGATTGTGTTGGTGTGTGTGTGCACTAGGTCGGCCAGGACATCGGCGAACTGGGTCAGCTCTTCCACGGTAGTAACCTGGCGCTGTTGGTAAGGGAGGAGGGTGGAGAGTGAGTGGAGGTAGTTGTTGTAGATCTGCGTGACATGGGGATTCGAAACGACGATGAAGGGGAGGTTCCGGAGGGCTTCGATTCGTGACGCCAACCGTGCTGGGAGCAGGGACAGGGTGAAGTTGGCCGAGGCGAGGAGGGCATCCTTGGATAACGGCGGTCTTCCGTGTCTGGAGCAGACGCCAGCATTAGTATCTACAGCGCTGTAGTTTCGATGCAATCTCAAATTTGTAGTATACAAGTGGCCAGGCAACTTACTTGAGCAAGTCTGTCAGCGTCAGTGGCCGTCGACGACTGGCTGCAAGGCGTGCGACTTCATCGTTAGCCCCATATGCGAAGGGGTGTTGAGAGGTTGAGACGTGTCGGAGAGATGACGCCGACCACGGGCGTGTCTTAGGAAGGGTGCATAGTTGTGTGCGCGAGAGTCTGGCACCCACAGACGGCATCTGCAAAGCCCGTGGTAGTGTCATCACGGTTTGTAGCCATCATTCAGCTTCAAATCGGGGAGGTTAACTTATCAGTAATGACCTCACTGCGTCCCTGCTGGGGGGGATTCCCGCACATTCTGCCGAAAAGCGGTATGCTAGTTTGCAGCCAGTTGTCCCCGCAGATAGCCGGTAATGTCTTATCTTCCCAATCGCATAGCTGGAGTCCATCTCATTTGCCTATTTACTGGAATTGCAAGGCTACCATCAGGACATATGCAGTGTAACAATATGATTACTTCCCTTGCAGTCATTACCAAGAGACCCGGTGCATTTATCACTGCTAACAGGCGGTTATACCCGCTTGCATGCTCCATTTGCCTCCCGAATGCCTTGTCTCTACCATTCCTACTATATCGGACTGGTATTCCTAACCAATATCCATGATCATGTAAAAATGTATTTCGCTCTATCAACCACTAAACTACAACAAGTGGTACTATGTTAATGCTTGATCTTTCCTATGTGGGTGGATAGCCTACGCTTCCCTGGCTTGAGCTGGAAGGCTGTTGGTAATAACCTGGTATGTATTCACCTTCCACCATCTAAATCTATAGATTCACAATAGAATTCGTACTCAAGGTTGCTATCGGTCACTCACCTAGATACTATATTGCCTTCTACTTGTTCTCCCTTCCTCCCACTCTTCTCAATTTCTTCCTTCTCCATCTTCCCCACCATGCGCTCTACCACTTTCCACCTCCCAACATCCACCCATCTAGGCAATCAGAAAATAATATCATACTTCTACCCTCCCGGTGGATCGTGCAGCCCCAAGGACAAAAGGAAAGGGGTGTGGTAGAGTAGTATCAAGGCTACCGATCCATCAGCAAGGTAGGTATTGCTTCTCCTGTTTTCTAGATCCCACCAGCTAATCCGCTCTGCAAAGGTGTCGATTTTACGATTCCTCAACTACCAAGGCGTGTTTGACCTGACTCTAGGCCTGAATTGTGATGCACATATTGGGAAAGCATGGCTGCCTCTTTTCCCCCACGATTCAAAGGTTACTACATTCTGTGCGGTGGACGTGTAGCCCAGGTAAACCACCTTCGGCGACCTCCCGCGGGCGAGCTTAACATATCACATATCACGTCCTGAGATCTGTCATCCGACTGCGTGACCCAGATCACCAGCGCGGTGACTGGCAACTATGGTGTTGGTGTTCGCTACCTTACATACAACAACGACTGGGGAGGCTTGGGCAATCTGGCCGCAGCCTCTCAGGCTTTGTTTCCGTATGCGTCAAGGCCAAGAAAGCGGATATCTTCAGAAACGCGGCACTCCAGCTGATCCGCCTGTCTAGCCATGTGCTACCACGAGCGAAGGTCAGACGGGGATACCTATTCTGCAGCAAGATGAGAGCGATCTCGCCGTTGTCTACAATCTCTTGATAAGCCAAATGGAGACAGCAGTAAATTTTGTCACCAACGACAACCCCCCGTTAAGGGAATACAGACACAGAGAGTAAAAGAGACTCAGTCGAGTCCTACGCCCAAACCCGCGTTTGGGGAATTCTTCGACCCAGCCCTGTACTGTTCGGATGGCGAAGAAGAAGAGGAATAGTTCTTCGAAGAGGTCCGTGATTTTGCATTGGGCAGACGAGCCATGTCGTGATCTTTCTTGCCTTTTTCAATTTGCAGAACTGCATTGGCTATCGCAATTGAGTTGTTAGCAGTTTACTTTTCACTGGTCAGCCTGAGTACAAGTCTCCGGGGGTTCACTGGTTGGAAGCAGCTAACCCATAGCTAGACATTTTCTGTTGCAATTAGGTATATACAAATATTGCGAAATACTCAGCAAATCGTCAAATATCAGTACAGATACTCTATTTCTATTATACTCAGATCTACCATAAGCGGCACGATCACGCGGTGGCTGCAAAAGAGGGCTTGGCGACTTGTATCCTGGCTGACCAGGGAGGGTAGCGTTGCGAACAACAAGCCTTGTGGTCATTACGTTGGAGAAAAGATATGGTGTAATCGATGTATGTTATCATTGAGAAAAAAAAAAAAAAAAGAGAAAAGAAGCAAACGACACAACACCGCGCTCAGCTCGGAATCACCGCACAGCGGACGATCCGGTCCTCACACTCATGATGCTAAGCCTCCTTGCTCTACAGTGAACTAAAATGATTTCGTAACTCGTACATGACACACATCCTCTAATCCCCCTTCGTTGTGTCCGCAATTCCAGTGAGAGGGAAAGCCGCAGGACGCTTATTGAGTGCGCACCTCGCCGTCCTGCTCGACATGCACGTGTTCATTGGCCTCGAGCGAGAGCACGCTGTCCTCGGGGTACTCAACACTAGCGCAGTAGTCAGCTAGTCTGCCCTCTCGAGGTGGTTTCGGGAGTGTGGATTGAGCGGAGTGGAGTAGTTGGGTAGCGGGAGGGTGGGTGTTGGCTGCCTTACGTGAAGCCCTTGATGAGAGAGTACTCGTGCTTGATGGTGCCGCCCTTCTCGGTGGCCTGCTGCTTAGCCCTGATGACAGGAGGAGAGGATGTTAGCTTGTGTTCATACAGGAAGTCACTGAACAAGGTAGAGGATCGCTTACTTCTCCAACTCCTCGGGGGGAGAGTCCTTCTTCAGGGTGACCTGAAACAATGGTTAGTGTTTCCGAAGAGGGGGGGGAGGAATCAGCGGGGAAGTGGAGCGCAACGAACGTTGTAAAGAGGCATTTTGGTTGCGGTGTGATGAAAGGCAGAGAGCCGTGAGAATCTAGTGAGAATGATGGCTGGATGGGGGAGTGGTTTATGGAAAGTAATTGAGGGAAGAAAAGCGGTGCCCGGGGGGTGGGACGAGAGAAGGTTTTATACTCTGTTGCGTGGTTCTAGTCTCAATAGGCAACCCTCTCTGCGGGGGGGAGGGAAGTTGCCCGTTGCCCGCACGGCTGATAAGGGGGTGATGGTAGGTAGGAATGATGGCGGTGGTTACAGCCACTAACTAGTCGACTTTACCGGTAAGAGGGGGAGGGGCATCCGTTTTTTTCTTTCCCTTTCTTACTACTTGCGCCATGCCTGACAGCATGTGTGTCACTTGGTCAACTTTAAGTTATTCTAATTGTCAAGTCTACTACTGATCAGGCTACAAGCGGAGTGAAGCCACCCATTGCGATAAGACGGTTGTTTATCCCCCACCAGAAAAGCCATGACGCATGCGCGATGACGCTATCGGAGGGTCACGTGGACGCCTGGTTCAAAGCCCCTCGGCTCAGCTCAACGCCTTTGTCCCAATCGGGATCTCTTGTGAGGATCAACGATCTTATCCCATCTCATGCACAGTGACGACAAGGGAACCCCCCCCCCACCCCCCCCGGTAGATCAGTCTGTCAGAAAAACTTGTTCTGACATACTATACTACTTGCGAACTCCGAGACATCAAGCATGAATTCAATACTGGATATTAATGACGCTCGTGCCTATGATTCGTTGATTCGTGATCTCTGTACAGTCTGTCGTGATAGTATTCCCCATTACCTTGGGTCACTTCCTATTGGTGATCAACCACTATGCACAGCCTCAGATATCCTTCAGAAACCCAACTTCAATCACCCGTTCTGCCTCGAGACCCAAAGATGCAATCTTGGCCCTGGTGTTATCTCTGATCCACAAGAAGATCCAGAGCACCAGACCGCGGAACATATTGGTGCCTTTCTTGATCCTCATCTGCTCCTTGCCGGTGATATAGAGGATGCTATGCACACACGCGCGCTCGAGCTTGTTCAGCGGGTCACTATATCGTACCAGGCTGCTGGACTGTGCTGCCTCCGATCCACTTTCTCCCTGACTTTCTGTGCTCGGAGATCGATGTCCACTCATTGCGACTCCATCCAGCTCCATGCCGTGCCCATTGTCGATAAGGTATCTGCGGACCTGATCCGTGATGGTACTGGCTAGATTCGGAGTCATGATCTCATCATTGTAGCCGTAACGGACCACAAGCCGATAGCAGTTGGGGATGGCGAGCCGCGAAACGGTATACCTGTCTTCCACGGGGACTGATGGCGTCTCGAGGGGTCGCAAGTGGAAGAACACGATTACTTCCGGCATAGAGGTGAGCTTGAGGACGAATTGACTGAACACGATAGGGGTGGTCTCGCCCGCCTTGTCGAAGAAGATCCCGACCCCGGGGTTGGTGCTCAAAGGGACTCCGTTGAAGCGGTCGGTGAGACGCATCCTACCATCTGGATCTTTGGTCACGAAATGTGAGGTAGGGAACCGATCCTCGGCCTCGGCAAACCACTGCTGCTCTTTCCCAAATCTCCATAATAGGAACACGAGTGCTAGAATGGTCGCTAGCGCTAGAGTGAACCATGCACCTGTAGGAACCTTCGTGAGTGCTGATGAAAGATATGCCCCATCAAAACAAGCGATCACAAGCCAAGGTATAAAGACAATGAATGGGCTGATGCGCCACACGAATATTGCTACCATCGAGACCATACAGGTGTCAAAGAACGTGACAAAGATGACACAGACACCGTATGCATTTCCAAGGGATGTGGTCTGCGTTGCGTCAGAGAAAAGAGCCATAGCAAATTGAAGAGGTAACATACGTTATTGTAGATCGACGCTACCAGGATCGTCCCAACCATCAAGAGCCAGTTGACAATCGGAATATAGAGCTGGCCGTGGAACACATCGGACGTGTGTACCACTTTGATCTGGGGTAAGTAGGATAGCTTCATCACTTGTGCCAGAAGCTGCTGTTGCATCAGAACATGCATCACAATCATTGTCATCAACAAGAGAAGAGTCCCATACCTGGAAAGTTGCAGTGATAATGGCCTGCGATGCAACGATCGCCGCGAGAATGGCAATAATCAAGGCCGGATAAATAGTACCCGGCGGCGCTGCTTTATAGAACGGGTTAGAGTAGGCTTCCGGGTGCACACTGATGTATGCCGCCTGCCCTATGTACGCTAACAGGAGACATGGGAAGGTGTAGCACAGCCAGCTGATCTGAATTGCTTTCCGACTGAAAGCGCCCAAGTCGGCGAAGAGAGCCTCAACCCCAGTGAAGGCGAGCAAGGTTCCGCTCAGCATGCGCCATCCAGACTCGCCATGTCGAACAAGGAATGTGAAGGCGTAACCCGGGTTGAAGGCAATGAAGACACCGGCATCATAATGCGCGAGATTGTAGATGCCAAACACAGCATTAAAACCCAGCCAGATAATCACGATTGGCGCAAATGCAAACGTCATCTTGGTGATGCCAAGCGGTTGTATCAGAAACAACACGACCAAGATAGCATCAGTCACGCCAATGACGGTGCCTTTGGAAATGTTGGGGGAGACGATCTCAATACCCTGCACGGCTCCTAGGACGGACTGAGCTGGAGTGAGAAGGCCATCGGCCAGGACCATTGTAACCGCCAATACGCCTACCACTTTCAGAAGATGCCTTGCAAACTTGCTTGTCTCGAGGCTATGTCTGGCGTATCTGCTGGCTCTTTCAAGATCGTTCGACAGGTGTCTTTTCATCTGGACAAGCGAGGCTTCTCGAGGATCGCGATGGGTTATATTCATCTACAGCCAGCGTTTTAGTCCAGTACCTGGCATGTCTTGAAGATGACGAACTAACATAGCGACTGAGTAGAGAATACGTGCTGAATGTACCACCCTCGCCGTCATTATCAGCATGGAGCACAATGAAGATGTATTTGACAGTCACCATCAAAATTAAGGACCATATGATGATGGAGAGGACGCCGATGAGATCTTCTCGCGAAGGTGGCGCGCTGAATGTCGATGAATAGACATAAAGCGGACTGGTCCCGATATCACCATAAATCACACCGATGGACTGATATGCGAGCCACAGAAGCATCTTGCCTTTGAACACCTGCTCGCGTCAACTCTGACCAGCCTCAATGACTGCAAGGACGTCAACAATACCTGCTTCTGCTTATAGTCGCCTGGCTTGCGCAGGCCGGGGTCATCGTCATGCTCCTCGACCGTGCTCGATCTCTTCTCAGACTGATTCAGACAATTGTTCCAAGGACGAACATTGTAAATCGTATCGTACGGCTGTGAAGGCTCTTTGTGGACCTTCTCGCCTACAGTAGGCGCCTTCTCAGCCTCAGATTCTGAGTCCATGCTGATAGTGTGGGATAGTGACAGCCCGGGAACCGCTCGACAAATGTTAGAGAATAGAGAACATCCGGACAAACACAATCAGGCAACAGTCAAAACTTCGGATTCGGAGGAGTAGTTGCATCAGCTGAAAGGCAAGCATGGTCAAGCTTATGGCCGAGCTCCTGGTATTTGTATCATTCGTTTCAGCCTCAAAGTCAGCGGGAGTAGCGATCCCATGGTTCCAGACATTCTTTTCTCGATGACAGGCCTGTCGCGACGGGATATCTCGACATCGACAAATTGCAATTATCCTACCATTCGTATCCTTATCTCTGTAGATTACTTTTTTTTTCAGTTTCGATCGAAGATATAAAGCAAAGATAAGCAGGATAGCTAGCTGAGCTTTCTCTTGTACGAGGCATTTTTCATGACCAGCGCTGCTCTCTCGATCCTCTCGGTGCGGGATTTGTTGACACCAATGGCTCCCCGGCCCCGCGCGATAAGCTGGACAAGCATCGTGGCACATGGGATCGAACTCTCACTCCGACTTGCGCAAAGCTCCAGATCGAGGTATTACTGTGCAGGGATATTCGAGGTCAATATTCGTGTCTGATATCAGTTCCGTGGGCGGGAGTGGTCGTCCTGGCCACACCCGTTCCTCAATCCTTGGTGTCGTCGAACGCTTGAACAAATCAAGTCAGACCAATTTTGGACTATTCAATTTGAATGCCGCATCTATCAGTTTCAATTCTGTGTGCAAATGGGGAAGCATCACTCTACTAAACGTACAGAGCAATAATCTAAGCTGCAGAGACCTCATTCCCCCCCGTTACAGCCCAACATACCCCGTTCCGTCCTCCTCCCTCTGAGGCATCTTCATGCCATGTGCGCCCAGATATTTGGGACTCTGGGGTGCGTTCCATCCTTGCAACACCGTCGCGTCCGCGAGTTTGTATACTTCCACCCCCAGAGGACGAGTTGTAGCCCCCATGTCCGCCTTTTCCTCCCAGCCCCATTCCGACAAGTCGCCTGTGGAGCCTCATTAGCTACTTTACAATACACCTCCTAAAGACTCTCACTTACCTCCAGGACACGCGGAAAGCGCACACAGAACATCCACCTCCGCGAAGAACTCAAAGTACTCCCCCGCTTTGGCCGGTGAAGTCTCCATGAAGTATTTGCCCTGCTCGTCCAGTCCCGTCACCTGAAACACGTTGAGCACATCGTGCACATCGAGCTCGGTCAGCCCATACGGCACCACCGCCCGGGTCAGGTTCGAATGGCAGTGAAAGTCGAAGCTCTCGCCGCCCATGACGAGGTTGACGTAAGGGTCGCAGCGAGTGCCCAGGAGGTCGTGCACGCGTCCGCCGAACTGCGTGGTCCCAAAGCCCTGCCCTTCTTTCTTCTTGCCCTCTTCGTCCAGGATCTCATGAAGCTGGCCGCCGGCGAGCGAGTCTCCGGTGATGGAGACCAGGGGACGCAGGTACGGCAGGTTGGACCAGAGCCGATCGCCCACGGACACGTGGGAGGCATGGATCTGGCGGGTACGTGCAGCCCACAGTCGCTCCCGGGGGTTGTTCGCGTTCCAGATGTTCAGGTCACCCACCTGCGGCCCCTTCGGGGTGGTGAGACGGCAAATGTGGCCGGCGGGGACCACCCACGCTTGCCCAGAGCATGGTCGGATCGTGAAGGATGACTCGAGGACGCGCTGGGAGGGCTCGTTCGCCGTTCTGGAGATGGATCTGTAGACTTGCGAGATCGCATGGACCCCTGAGTCTGGGGGAGCCGTGTATGCGGGCGGTGGGCGACGTGCAGGAGCCATATTTCGCGGGTGCTTCTCCCTCTGGATCTACCTGAGTTTGTAATGGGAACGAGAGCCCTGGGATATGCAACCAAAGTTTAGGAATTAGGATTCTGACTTAGAAAACAACCTCGGGAAAAGGAATCCGGCGCCATTAAATACATCGTGGCCCTGGGAACTGTGCCGATAATCGCACTCCTACTCGTACTTGAGTATGAGCCACCGTATTCGACCCCATACTACCCCGCTCATATCTCACAGTCGTGACCTCTTCTGGCAATGGCGACGACGAGGCACCGGGCCGACATAGTGGGGTTTAGACCTTATCGGGTCTCGCCCGGGCCGGACGACGATAAGTGGGAGGCAGTTTATCGATAACTCATCCATTAGTCATAAAAAAGTTCCCCGCCTGAATGGATGCCTGGCGCAGTTTTCTGTCGGTAATTACCGCCCGTTGGTGTGCTCCGGGCGGAAAAGACCCCGGGACTCGGAGAAAAGCTTCTTCCGGCAAAAGAAAATGGGAATAATAATTTTGGTAGCCAAGCTTTCTAAAGACATTCGGAGCAGTCTTGCAGATTTGCGCTCAACTTTTTTTTGGCTGTGTCACGGCTTCGAATCAAGCGGGGAAAGTATTTTACTCTAGAGGTCTTCTAGACCTCTTAGTTTTCCCACAATGGAGCAGCAATCCAACAGGTCGCATCGAGCCACCAAGGAGAAGAAAAAGTATGATGGTAAGTAATGAATCTTCTTGCGCATGCCTCCGGGATGAAGTTTATCGGCTTGCTCCAACATCGTTCCTTCAACGTGATCAGGTAGCTGACAGAAACCACTTTCACAGGACCGAATCCTAAAGCTTTTGCGTTCTCGAATCCCGGCAAATTGAACAAGGCCGGCGCGAGATCGCACGATGTATGCGCTACCCACCCTCCGCAACGATACAACTTTTGACAAGGCCACTGACCTTGCAACCTCACTTGTCTAGATCAAAGAAAAGAGACTTCATGTGCCCCTCGTGGATCGCCTGCCTGAAGAGGCACCTCCTCTTATTGTCGCCGTCGTCGGACCACCTGGAGTAAGTGTTCCAGCGGGATTTCACATGCGGAGACCCAGGAATAGGAAATTCTGACAGTCGTTGTGTTGGATCTAGGTGGGCAAGACGACCCTTATCAAGTCCCTCATCCGTCGCTACACGAAGCAGACCCTCAGCACACCGAAAGGCCCCTTGACCGTGGTCACGTCGAAGAAACGCCGTCTCACGTTCCTCGAATCGCCCTCCGATTCCCTCGCCAGCATGATCGACGTCGCCAAGATCGCAGATATCGTGCTGTTGATGATCGACGGCAACTATGGATTCGAGATGGAGACCATGGAGTTCTTGAATGTCCTTGGCTCCCACGGTATGCCCGGTAACGTTTTCGGTATCCTGACCCATCTCGACCTTTTCAAGAAGCAGAGCACTCTGCAGGCCGCCAAGAAGCGTCTCAAGCACCGTTTCTGGAGCGAACTCTACAATGGCGCCAAGCTCTTCTATCTCTCCGGAGTCGTCAACGGTCGTTACCCCGATCGCGAAGTCCACAATCTCTCCCGCTTCCTGTCCGTTATGAAGAACCCTCGACCCCTTGTATGGCGTAACTCTCACCCCTACGCCCTCGCAGATCGCTTCTTGGATATCACGCCACCCACCCAGATCGAGGAGGACCCGAAATGTGATAGGACGATAGCTCTTTACGGTTACCTGCGTGGGACCAACTTCGCGGCTCAGGGAGCGCGGGTGCACGTTCCGGGAGTCGGTGATTTGACGGTCTCCGGCATCGAGTCCCTGCCGGATCCATGCCCGACACCCTTCTTTGAGCAGCAGGCTGCAAAGGCCAACGGCAAGACCAGCCGACGCCGATTGGGGGATAAGCAAAAGCTCTTGTTCGCGCCCATGTCTGATGTTGGTGGTGTGTTGGTGGACAAGGATGCCGTGTACATTGACGTCAAAACCTCGAACTTCGAGCGAAACGAGGACGAGTCCGACGACGAGGAGCGCGGTCTTGGCGAGCAACTGGTTGTTGGCCTGCAGGGTGAGCGCAAGCTTCTCGGTGAAGCTGATGGCGGTGTCCGCCTCTTCCGTGGCGGTGAAGCCATTGCGAAGGCAGACGAGGAGAATGGTGCTGCTGGAAGAAAACACAAGCGCCACGCTCGATTCCTGGACGGCGAGAACAACAACGCTGATGTTGTCGACGAGGAAGACGAAGGTTTCGAGAGCGCAGAAGATGAAGATGACGCTGAAGAGCTGGATGAAGATGAACTGGAGGACCTGAGCGAGGATGAAGAGATCGACGCTTCCGCACCCGCAGATTTCGAAGCCAACTTCAGGGAGAGGCAAAATGGCAATGCTCGCCAGACCGAAGGTGACCTTGAATTCGCTGATAGCGACTCTGATCTCGGCTCTATCTCATCTGTGGATGACCAGATTTTGGAGAGTGGCGAAGACGAGGACTCTGACGATGAGGAGAATGCCCGCTGGAAAGAGAACATGCTTGCTAATGCGAAGTCCCTTCATTCGAAGCGCCCGAAGTTCCGCATCACTGACTTGTCTCGGATGCTGTACGACGACTCCATCGCACCCGAGGACGTGATGCCTCGATGGAGCGGTCGTGGTGAGAACGAAGACGATGACGAGGATGAGGACAATCAGGACAATGATGAGGAAGAGGACACCTTCTTCAAGAAGACCGGCGCCGAGCAGAAGGAAGAGGAGGAGTTCCGTCACATTCCTGAGTTTGACTACGCCAAGCTGGAAGAGAAGTGGCAGGATGAAGAGCTTATCGATTCCCTAAGAAGCAGATTCGTCACGGCCAAATTATCTGGTGACGGCGACGACGATGATTCGGATGTGGGCGATGCATTTGACTCGGACGACGAAGGAGATGGTGAATTCGAGGATCTAGAAACGGGCGAAGCTTTTAACGGTCTCTCCGACGACGAAGAGGGTGGCGAGGAGGAGGGTGAGAAAGATGAGGGGCCCGTCGACCTGGACGCGGAGCGTGAGCGCAATGCGAAGAAGAAAGAAGAGCTACGACTTCGCTTCGAGGAAGAAGATCGCGAGGGGTTCGCAAACTCCAAGGATAACTCGCGCAAGGATGGTGAAGGGGATGAGGAGTTCGGGGAGGACGACTGGTACGACATGCAGAAGGCTAAGCTACAGAAGCAACTCGACATCAACCGTGCCGAGTTTGACCTACTCGACCCGGCCTCCCGCGCTCGAGCGGAAGGTTTCAAGGCCGGCACATATGCACGTATCGTTCTCGAGAAGGTGCCCTGCGAGTTCGCCACCAAGTTCAACCCTCGTTACCCCGTCATTGTGGGTGGCCTGGCACCCACCGAGGACCGCTTCGGCTATGTCCAGATCCGCATCAAGCGCCACCGCTGGCATAAGAAGATCCTCAAGAGCGGCGATCCCCTCATCTTTTCTCTCGGCTGGCGCCGCTTCCAGTCCCTGCCGATCTACAGCACCTCCGACAGTCGGACGCGCAACCGTATGCTCAAGTACACCCCGGAACACATGCACTGCTTCGCTACCTTCTACGGCCCGCTGGTGGCGCCCAACACCGGTTTCTGCTGCTTGCAATCCTTCTCCAACAAGGCCCCTGGGTTCCGCATCGCCGCCACCGGTGTGGTGCTGAACGTCGACGAACACACCGAGATCGTGAAGAAGCTCAAGCTGACGGGTGTTCCCTACAAGATCTTCAAGAACACCGCCTTCATCAAGGACATGTTCAACTCCTCGCTGGAGATTGCCAAATTCGAGGGCGCCTCGATCCGCACCGTCTCCGGCATCCGCGGTCAGATTAAGCGCGCGCTGGCCAAGCCCGAGGGCTACTTCCGTGCCACCTTCGAGGACAAGATTCTCATGAGTGACATCGTCTTCCTGCGGGCCTGGTACCCGATCAAGCCCCACCGCTTCTATAACCCGGTCACCAACCTGCTGGATCTGGCCGAGGAGGGCGCGGCGGACAGCGGCTGGCACGGCATGCGTCTCACCGGCGAGGTCCGCCGCGAGAAGGGCATCCCCACCCCGCTCGAGAAGGACTCGGCGTACCGCAAGATCGAGCGCCCCGAGCGCCACTTCAACCCGCTGCGTGTGCCGCGCCAGCTGGCCACGGACCTGCCCTTCAAGTCGCAAATCACCAAGATGAAGCACCACAAGGACAAGACCTACATGCAGAAGCGGGCGGTGGTCCTCGGGGGCGAGGAGAAGAAGGCGCGCGACCTCATGCAGAAGCTCAACACCATGCGCAACGAGAAGCAGGCCAAGCGCGCGGCGAAGCAGGAGGAGCGCCGCAAGGTGTACCGCGCCAAGGTGGCCGAGGGTCTGGAGAAGAAGGCGGAGCGTGAGAAGCGAGAGCGCGATGACTACTGGCGTCGCGAAGGTAAGAAGCGGAAGGCCCAAGACGGAGAAGGGGGTGGTGGTGGCAAGAAGCGCAGGTAGAGCCCCTAGTTGCTTTTTTTTTCAGGGTCAGGTTATTTACAGGTTTTATATCAAAAGTTGCTTCTGTGAATAATGTCCATGTGTATCTATGTGCATGCTGCATGGGATGGATGGCGTTGAGTTTTGTTGCTTGGACCCTATTTCTCCTCTGACATGGTTGAACATATACTCACTACTACATGTTCTTGGGGTTGATGCTTGCTCTATACCAGGAAGAAATAGATTGACTTGGTGTCATTTCGGATCAAGACGCTTTTTGTTGGTGGTGGTGTTGTAGATCCTCCGGCTTTGCTGCTTTTGGTGCCTGACCTTTAAGGCATCCAGACTCACAGTTATCGCCACGTGACTGCGCTGTGAACGCGTCGCCCTCCGACTCGATCGTCGCCTGGCGTCTGCGAGTCGGGAGTCCCTGTGTTTTCCCCCCATGGACAAGCTTGATAGATTGTTGACCTGTTTGTCAATTGATCTAATCAGCAAGCCGCGATCACTCTCTTATGGCCTTTCTCGACCTTCTACCCCTCGAGTCGTCCTCCTTCGGCCGTTCGACCTGGTGTTCGGATTGAGGCTCGCGTGAGAGACGTGTGAGAGAGACTTTGCTGCATCTGGCCGCATCGCCTGCCACCCTGCTGCCACCGTCCGAAGATTCCACAACATCGGCCTCCTTGCAGGACAGCCACGAACCCAGTACACATCCCGCCCCTAGTGAGGTCTTAGAACCGTGTTGAACTCGAGTACACTGAGTGTGTCAGTCAGAGTGGATTGATTGACTGGGTCGGGCTGCGGGACATTCCCGCGCCAAAGATAACCGCGACGCTGGTAACCGGGGAATCAGCGGCGAATAAGACACATCAGTTCATGCGGACTTTCTGCGACTTCAGCGATTTTCAAGTTTGATTGCCCTCATTCTGCGGATGGGGAGGGGGTAAAGTTCATACCTGCCCTGCTTCCCCCGTAAAAAAACATCGTCTGCTCCCAAGACATTACCGGACAAAGAAAACAACCTGCATTATTGCAGTCAGTCAGCCGGTCAGTCAGTCCTCTTATCGTGGCTCTGCCCGCTTTTCTATAGACTGGGCCCAACATGAGTAGCGGAGCGCCGCGCTTGGATACGCGCCACCACGTGCACTCCGCGCAGTCTTCTTCATCGCGACAGATTGACTCTCGGCATGATGCAAGGGGTGGCAGACACGACGGTGGTTTGAGTTTCAGTAAGACTGCCAATGACCCCGAATCGCAAGGAGATTCTGCGCGGGGTTCTTCGTCGTCGACGGATCCATCCTCGCTGGTGGGCCCGCCCACAGCCCACTTGACACCGACACCTGAATTCCCGTTGTATGACGATGTTAGACACGGTTCCTCGTTCTCCTCGTCACATGTGTCGGATTCGCGGGGAACTTCATCAGCTGTGTCGCAGCCGTCGAAGGTATCCAATTCGGTCCGGTCCGTGTCGGGAGGCAGACAGCTGAGCATTGAGGAAGCGATCGCGGGGCAGCAGGCCACGCCCCGACCATTATCGGTATCGCGCAGTCCTTCTGGAAAGGGCTCGCCGGGAAAGCAGCGTGTGACAGGGTTTGCTGCGTCTCCTGCGGAGACGTCGAGGACGGGGGAAAGAGGGATTGAGAGGCTCCGGTCGAGCAGTATCGGGTCGCTCTCCCGCGAAAGCCGAATCGCAGCGGTAACTTGTTCCTTCTACTTCTGGTGGGGTGCTGTGGGTTGCTGATATGAGTTCAGTTGTCAGTGCACCTGCGCACTCGCCTTTCGTATGCGGCGGCCAAGATTGAGAAGAGCCGACAGATGCAGAAGGCCCAGGACCTCCCGCCGACGGCGCGCATTGACTCGCTGGTGCGATCGGGGCAGCTCGCCTATCTTGACCAGGTCGATGCACAAAAGCCAGAGGGATTGGGCTCGCCTGCCAGTACGACGATGTCGACGATGTCGTCGCCGGACATGTATGGCACGGCTGGGTTCAACCGGCCCGTTGGGTCGGCGCGGCTCTCCCCAGCGGCTTGGTCGGAGGCTGCTGCATCTCCTCACGCGGGATTCTCGAGGAATCATCATAACTACCATCATCACCATCACCATTCTCATTCTCATATAGACCACTCCAGTCGTCCAAAACTCGCCCCGCCTGTAGATATCATCTCGAAGGGAGGAAGTCACGGCAACCGACGTCGACGTCCGAATCCAAACGAGTTCACCAGCCCACCCACCTTCACTCATCGCAGACATCATTCCCACCAGGACGTGGGCCTGTCCCAGTCCAGCGCAAACTCAGACACCATCCTAGTACCAGGGACGCCTCCGCTCCAGCCGTCCGGCGCTATGCCCTCCGCGCGTCATGGTGGCGTGGCGGGTGAGCAGCACGACCGCGCCCGGAGCAGCGCAATGGAGCAGGACGCGATCGAGACGCTGCTGTTCATGTCCAGCCCCGGCCACTCGGGGTACCACTCGACCCACTCGCAGCATTCCCGGCGGCCTCATCAGCACCAGGACGTCTCGCGGAGCAGCAACGGGTCGCAGGATTCGAGTCTGCGCGTACCGTGGAGTCGGCCTGATAGTAGCCATGGTCATGGTCAGCCACGCGCCAGGTCGGCCGAGGAAGTCACGGGTTTAGAAGCCCAGGCGGGCGACGAGATTGACCGGATGCTGGACCAGATGGACAGTGACAGCGAGGATGATGCAGCCCAAATAGCCCGATCCAGACGGTAGTAAGCTTTTTTCCTCGGCATGGGATGTTTTGCTGAGCCTTGGAAAGTATGGATAGACGCGGGCAGTCTTTTGTACAAACCTAGAGCCTTGATTTCGAGCTACAATAGTCCTGACTTAGAGCATCTGGTTAGACGTGACTTTACTCCGGTTTCAGTTGACCACAACGATATCAAGTTCATCACACCACCAACCTGAACTAGCTACTATACAATCCTTCCATCCCCCAATATCCAACCTCCTTCTCCCCCAACAACCCACACATCTACATCCAAGAATGACCAAGTAAGTTGAACCAACTAAACTAAGAAAAATCCAACATCCCACAAACCTGCCCCGCCCCCTCCACCGCCCCAACCCACCCCAACCGCCTCCCCGTAAACAACTCCGCCTCGGGCCTCCTCTCCAACACCCCAGCATCATCCAGCACCCCCGCCCTCACAACCGTCACCTCCGCCGGCCGCCCATCAGCATGGATCTTGTGTCCATACAGCGGCGATCCTAAAGTACCGCACCGTCACATAGAATCCATCAGCATTTCTCCTCTCCCATCTCCTAAGTTACCCCTACGACTTCCATAAACCCAACCATCATCCCCCCACCCCCAGGCATTCCCCTAAACCAACACCACCCATACCCAACACAAGAAGATAGCCAAAAGGAAAGGGTGGGGAAGAAACGAACCGCAATCCCCACAAAAATAATTCCGCACCGCATTCCCACTATCGGCCGTCTTGGCCACGGCCTTGGGCGTGCCGGCGACCACCCGGAAGGCACCGGTGGGCACGAGGACGCTGTGCGAGTAGGCGGAGCCCGTGAGTTTGCGGCAGTCGTGGCAGTGGCAGAGGCCCTATTGCGGGGTCACATCACATTGCTTGTGTTAGGGGTTGGGTTGCTTTAGGGTTGAGGGCGGGTTGGAACTTGCCGTGGTGAGGGGCGGGCTGGTGCATTCGATGCGGATGGCGGTGCAGAAGCAGCTGCCTTTTGTTGTCATTTTTTTGTCCGGGGGTGTAACGTTAGGGTTCAAAGTTTGTAGGAAGTGGGGGGAGGGGGGGTTGCTTGATGGGTATGTACTAATGTTTATGGGTTGGTAGGAGTATGATATCTAGTGGCTAGTCGTGAACCGAGGTATCTGTTGATCTATATATATATCTGTACCCGTGACGGGAGAATGGGTTGACTATCTAGATCGTGACTAAGCGCATGGGTGACACGGTTGGCCCCAACGAGAAAAGGAGTGAGTGGGCGGATTCCTTCCCAACCATTCGGTGGACTGACCGACTGACTCGTTGAGTAAGTAGGATTCAGAGGCAGAGGGAAAGTGTAGTCTTTGTATGTAGAATGCCCAATGCGCTTTGTGGGATGCTATCAGTAAGGGAGTCATATACATCCCGTCTCTAGCATGCTTACTTTTTATTTGCGAAGCTAGCCCGCTGCCTCCTCCCGCTAAGGACGCTTCAGCAATCATGCCTATATAGCTATGGGCCGGCCCTCCTGTAGCAGCAGTCGCCCATCCGCAGGATCAAGCCTTTGTGATAATAGTTCTTTCTTCTATACTATACTATGATCATGCAGTAGCTCGTTTTAGGTCGGATTACTTGAATCTTGCTTTATGGATCTTAGTAGCACACAATGTACTTAGTTTCTCTTAAGCTTATGGCCGCAGAATATCGAATATGAGGTTCTATATTAGTAAGTCCATAATGGGAAGGGGCTACAGTGACTACGACTCGCGAATCATATGGTAGCGAAGATATCATGAGATTTGCTCCACAAACTGGCGATTCTTCATGCAGATATCAGGGTCACTGCAGTGAATTGAGCTGATCACAAGTGGAACCCACGCGCCCCTCGGAGCACCGCGCCTCTTGATGCATCGGCCTCAGTAACCAGTTCCACGCCATGATTTCCGCAACCGGTAACTAAGTAGGTACCTCAGCAAGCCCACCCCACAGGCTGCTTCCACACCAGCGGATGATCTTCCCCAGCCCAGTCAGACTGGCGGCGGTTCAAGATCCACATCCAGCGTCTTTAGCTCTTCCGCCCAGGCTTCCTGGTACTCTTCGTCGTCCTCGTGGTCAAGCTCCTCGGTAGTGAGCTCCAGCCCCTCCGCCCCATAAACCTCCCCCCACGACACATTCTCCTCGACGTCGAGATCGAGTTCCTCCAGGGTCCACCGATGCCGCCACAGACGTTTGAGTAACGGCGACAAATGCACGGTCTGCTTGCCGCCCTCGGGAAGCCTCCGGCCGCCGATCTTATATCGAAAGCTGCGCAGGGCCTTGGCGGAATCAATGAGACAGCATAGGTCTGCCTCGTGCATCAGGGAGTGCGTGAAGCTTAGCTCGCTGAAATTCGAAGAGCTCGGGGGAGGAGGGATCCCGGCCTCGTTGTTCCATGTCGCGAGCGTGAAGGCGACGGATGTGAGCGCCGGCAGCCGCCGCACGAGGTTGAGGCGGTGGTAATACGACTCGAGGATGTAATGCAAACCGTCGTTGTCGGGCGAGTCGTGGTCGGGAAGGAAGGTGACTTTCCGGAGATTCTGGAGGTAAGGGAGCGGAATGGAGGTCCGGCCTGCCCGACGAAGTAGAGTCACAAGACAGAAACATGGAGCGGCGGTGTCGTACTCGCCGATGTGGTAGAAGGCCAGTGACTCCAGCTTGGGTGAGATGGCAATCAGGAGTGCGGCAAGGGCTTGCTTGAATGCAATATGACCGCTATACGTAGAGCATTGTCTGGTGAATGGTCAATGTCCTAGTCAACATTTGAAGGAAAAGGAAGAGAGAAAGGATTTGGGGTGTCACAGACAGCTTTTTCCCTGCAGGGTCTTGCAGTAGGATGTTTAGCAGCATCTGCGGCTCAGCGCCTTCAGTGAATCCAGCTTTGGCGATGGCTGAACTCAAGTTCTGTATATCAACTTCAGCCAAGTCTTGAGTCTCACTTGGGGGCCTCTGGAAATCCGGGTCCTCGCGATCTGTAACTTCGCGAGTTCCATGCACCTCCAGATGGCGCACATCGTGCGCCGCGGCCGGGTGACGGAGGAGATGTAGCAGGGTGTCGAATCCGGTGACGAGATCTACGGTCTCGCGGAGTCGGAGTCGATGGTATCTACTCTCGGGGTTCAGGTCTAGATTGGAGGCGGCCGGGAGGTGGTGCGTGTGACGGCGACTTTGGGGGGGGGTTAGTCCCTGCGTGCTGATAGAGGGTTGATAGCACTTTTATCTGGTGGTGGGTGGGATAACGGGGGCGATGGCGAGAGAGGGTTCTGCGCAGTGCTTTGCTGATGATGTGCATTGGGGAGCAGGTGGGAGATTCGCTGGTAGCTGGGGGTATACTCGATATCAGGGAGAAGAAGGTGAATGAAGAGCTACCCTGTGTAGGTATTGGCACGTGGAGTACCCTTGTAATGAGTTGGTGATTTAGTTAGGTCTGGCTATTTGATTAAATAACTATCCTGTTGTGACTAAGCATGTGCTTGGGTCCAACTAGTTACTTAGATTACATGGTGACTGAACATTGACTGGAGATTGCCTGACTCCTGAGTGGGATCTTTGGAGGGGCCTGGTATTTACTGCCAAAGGCAAGTTGGTAAGATGCCTTTGGAGAGTCTGTCACTGTTCAGGTCCATTGTGATAGTTTATATATAGCCCTAACATGGTAAATTTCTCTACCATATAACACAGGTTATGTCTTACCAAACACCAATTATCCTTGCCCTATCATACATAAACTTGTCCGATATAGCTAGCAGGATATGCATTGCCACAGCCTCTGGAATAGAGGCCTGGAAGAAGGCTCTCAATTCTCTCAGGTTGCAGCAACAGCAACAGCAGTAGCAGCAGCAACAGCCACAACCACCCTTCTAGATTCGTCCGTTCACATTCAAACAAAGGGCTCAAATCTCTTGATATTTAATCTCCTCAAAACGGAACCCACATTCCAGAGTATCAACTCAGCTCAGCTAAATGCTCCCATCTAAGAACATCAATTCAAATCGACTACCCTATCAAAACACCAACCGGTCAAATCATTCCACCCCCCAGCTATCGTCCATCTCCGCAACATCATAGTCCACATCATGGCCCCCGTCCTTCCGGCCGGAGCTCTGATCCGGCACCCCTGGCGCAATCGGCGCGGTGTCCATCAACGTATCCTCGTCCGAGCCGGTCTTGTTGGTGTCGGAGCCACCACCACCGCCAGATTGAGGCAGAGAGGACGACGAGATGGGCGGGTTGGGCACCCAGGCGAGTTCCACCTGGCCGACGGACGGGATGTCGCGGGGGCCGAACATGAACTTCTCGGCCTGGTAGCGTTCCTTGAAGGCCACGATGAGGGAGTCGGACTGGTCGGGGTTGGGTTCGATGGAGGAGTATTCGCCGACGCCCTATTTATGATGTAAGTAACTAAAACGACCAGATGGGATGACGGGGCACAGCTTGAGGAGGAACACTTACAATCAAGAACTGTCGCAAGGCTTCGTCCTTCTCGGAGTTGAACTCCACCCCGGAGACAGCCACGCGCTTGGGTCGGTTATCCAGACGGAGCACACCGCCACGACCGGCCATGCCACCACGACCACGGTAGCCACCACCGCCCCGATAGTAGGGATCGTAGCTGCCCCGACCACGAGGGGCAAATCCACCTCGGCCGTAGCCGCCTCGGCCGCGGCCGCGGTAGCCCGGCCCCGAAGCACCACCACTACCACCAGCAGGATCGATCCCCAGGCTCTTGGCCTCGGCCTCCAGCGCGGCCAGCTGCGCCCGAAGCTGCTTGGTCTGCTCGCTGACATGCTCCGGTTGCGCCGACGGGGACCGGCCATCTCCTCCGTCGGGAGACGCGCCGCCACCGCCGGTAGCGTCGCCATTGCTGCTGCTGGCGGCGCCGCTGCCGCCGAGTTTCTGCATCAGTCGCTGTCTCTCTTCCTGCTGCTTCTTAAGCAACTCGTCGCGCTGTCGTTCCAGGGCTTGCTTGGCCTCTTCGGTTTCCTTGCGTTTCTTGAGTTTCTCCTCGTGGGCGCGCTGGGCTTCTTCCTGCTGCTTCTCGAACTCCTCCCGGTTGAAAGCCGGGCCCTCCGACTCGCCGCCACCCGCGCCGGTGTGATGGTGAGGCCGGGGGTCCCCATTCCAGTCGCCCTTGGGCTTGTGCCAGTAGACCTTGACGAACCGGTTATCGAAGATCACCTTCGGGCTGGACCAGGCGCTCTTGGCCGCCGCGTGGTTCTCGTAGGTGATCAGCGCGAGTCGCCGGTGTGGCTGTAACGACAGGTCCGCGATTTCGCCATACTGCGAGAAGAACTCCCGGACCGTCGCCTCATCGAGCTTGTCATCGGGGATCTGCTCCACGACGATCGTCGTGATCGAAGTGTCCTCGTTGGGACCGGCAGAGGAGAACTCGGACCGACGTCCTCGGCCGCCAAATCCACCTCTGTCGCCGCCACGGCCACGGCCACGACCGCGGTCCCCGCCCCGCATAGGCGGCCCATCCGATCGTCTCTGGTAGTCTGTAACAATGCTCGAAGACTTGGGATCGTATTCTGCGCCTCCCACAAAATCAGTCCTAAGTCACGCACGCCGTTTAGAAGGTAAGTCAAATACATACCATCCGTCTTGGACGCCCCGCCCGCAGTATCATGCTGGTACGGGCACGTTGTCCCAAGGTAGCAGATCCCCTGCGTCTCGTAGAACGGACACCGCTCCGAGCTCTTCGGCACCATCTCACCCGGCTGCTGCCCAGCGCCCGCAGGTGGCATCGGCATCGGCGGCATTCCCGGCATCTGGGGGAAACCCATACTCTGTAGCGCCATCATCGCCGCCATGGGGTCGTTCTGATCGAACGGCGGGAACGTGGAGGGCATGACGAATCCCGGGGCTTGAGGGTTGAAGGTGTGTGGTTGCTGTTGCCCGGGCCCCCCTGCGCGACCATCCCTGCCACCCATCCAGTCCCCTCGGCCACCACCACGTCCTCGGCGGGGAGTCTTGTAATTGCGATTCTGCGGGACTTCTTCGCGGTCCACGTCCATCTGAAAGCCCTCCTGGAATGTACGCTTGCGGTTAAAATTGTGCTGGTTATCACCACCCGGCGCTTGTCCAGGGAAATTGTTGCCCATCTGCTGTGCTCCGAAGGGACCCTTCGAAGGACCGGTCGGAGGATTGAATGCACTCGCTTGTTGCTGTTGCTGTTGCTGCTGCTGGTCCTGAGGAGCGGGCGCTTCCTGCGACTGGCCCTGCGCATATGACGGTTGGGCAGCAGCAGCGGGTTGCGGTTTAGAAGCAAAGGTCGCGAAGAGCTCGTCGACGAATTTCACCGTGTCTGTACATTACCCGAAGGTAACAGAGAACGTCAGCAAAATGTACTCATTCAATCGAGCACACAATATAACCATCTCATCCCAGATTTGGTAGCGCAAGAAAGAAGAAAAATACTAACGTTCACGAAGGAAATCCTCCAAGTTATCCACCGAAGCTTTCCGGATGTCCTCGTCAGGAGCATCGGTCCTGATCAACGCCAGAACATAGTCGGCAAGTACATCGGAATCGGCATCAGAGCTGGCAGGCGACGAGACGTTAGTCTTCGAGCGTAAATTCGAGCGAACGCGCGCGCGCGGACAAGGCAGATTGGGCGCCCAAAACCGTCGCGGTTCCTCTTTGCGGACAGAGACAGCGCTTACATATCCTCCAGCTTCCTGACAACCCATTTCTTCACCTCCGCTGCCTCGTTCTCGGTAAGTTGCATGATGTCGGGGTAAGGTCGGGCGATCGGGGGCCCGATTGTCACGAGAGGGCTTGTGGCTCGAAGGTCTTGAGCCGATCAAACAGGCAGGCGTCCGTCCTCGCCGTTTGACGCCGAAGGTTGAGACCGAGGAACTAGATAAGAGGTTGCAAGGGAGGGACACTATCCAGCGACTGCAAGGGTGATGGGACGAAAGCGATGCGAATGACAGATCAAACCATGGCTTGGCAGTAAGGTCTCGATAAATATCGACAAAGCCTGGCGGTTCGAAAAAGCCGGGGAAACGCGAGCGACGCGGATGACAGAATACCACGTGACTGCCCTCCGAGATCCCGCCAGTTGCTTAATTCTGACGAAAAACTTCCACGCACCAGCACAAATCGACTTCAAATGGTCTACAGGCCACCTGCAGAGGAGCTACACCTACGATGGTTCTAAAACACAAAATTGAACTTGAACTGCCATCTCATATTTTAATGTCCAACTATGGGACAGCAACTGAACTATTGGAAAAGCTCTCGCAGTCGTAAACGTAATAAAAAAGCCAAAGCAATGCTCGTGCACACCTGGATTCTACTTCTAGGTATTCGACAATCCACATACGACATTAAGCTGTTTCACCTCATTTTCATTTTCCTTCCCCCTCATAGACAGGGTATTGCGTTCGTCAATCTCATAATAGGATTCCAACCATCACAGACTTGAAACCTAGTCGGCTTGCTTGGAACGTGTTTACAGCTTGTCGTAGTACTGCAGACAGAATTAGCATCAAATCCAAAATCATGATGGAACAGAAGAAACTTACGTTCTCGTAGCCAGGAACCTGCTCCTTGAGACCCTTGCGCTTACGCATCTCAGCAACGATCTGACCGGGCTTGGTGGTGGCGTCAAGAGGAGATCCACCAGGGAGGACAGACCAGTGGTCGAAGACAGACTGGGGGAAAGCCTGACCACCGGTGGCCTGACGGAGCTCTCCGGGGAAACCGAAGGACTCGTTGACGGGCAGGTAGGCCTTGACGTTGAAGAGGGGAGTACCAGGGCGCTGCTCCTCGGTGTAGACGTGACCACGGCGGCGGGTAAGGACACCGTAGATACCACCCATGGCCTGCTCGGGAACCTGGATCTCGACGTTGAAGATGGGCTCCAGGATACCGGGGTCGGCAAGCATGGTAGCAGCATACAGGACACGACGAGCAGTGGGGATGATCTGACCACCACCACGGTGAATAGCATCAGCGTGAAGAGTAACATCAAGGATGTTGAAGCGGATGGAGCGCATGGGCTCCTCAGCAACGGGACCCTCACGGGTGGCCCACTGGAAACCGGAGACAACGGAATCCTTGATTTCGTTGAGGTACTGGACGGCCTTGGTCTGGTCAACCAGCAAGTTGGCACCGGAGGTGTCGGGACCGAAACACCAAATCTTACGGGCATCGGTGACATCCCAGCCGTGCTCGTCAGCAAGGATACGGGCACGAGCCTTGAAATCGTCACGGGGGCTGATCTTGCCGGCCTCGATGGCGAGGGAGACCTCCTCGTCAAGGGGCTGGGCAGTCAGGTACAGACGGTTGTGCTTGTTGGGGGACTTGGACAGGGCAGTCATGCTGGAGGTGCCGCTGACGGTCTCACGGTACTGGACAACGGGGTCGGAGATACGGAGAGGAACACCAGCGTGGTCCTCCTCGAGATCCTTCAAGCAAATCTCGAGGTGGAGCTCACCAGCACCGGCAACGACGTGCTCACCGGACTCGGAGATGTAGGTCAGGACACAGGGGTCGGACTTGGACAGACGCTTGAGACCCTCGACCAGCTTGGGCAGATCCTGAGCGTTCTTGACCTCAACGGAGCGCTGGACGACGGGAGAGACGGAGAACTTCATGACCTTGAGGTTGTGGGCGGTCTCATCGGTGGTAAGAGTACCCGACTTGAGCAAGAACTGGTCAACACCGACCAGACCGACGATGTTACCGCAAGGAACATCCTCAATGGGCTCGACGAAACGTCCCATCATCAGGATGGTACGCTGGATGCTCTTGATGAAGAGATCGGTCTTCTGGCCAGGGACGTAGTTGGGACCCTGGATGCGGACCTTGAGACCGGAGCGGACGGTACCGGAGTAGACACGACCGAAAGCGTAGAAACGACCCTTATCGGAGGTGGGCACCATCTTGGAGACGTACAGCATCAGAGGAGCCTTGGGGTCACAGTCGCGGATACCAACGCAGGCAGCGTCGTCCTTGGGACCCTCGTACAAGGTCTCGGCACGGTACTTCTGGGCCTGGACGGGAGAAGGCAGGTGGATACAGACCATCTCCAACATGGCGTCGGCGGCGGGAAGGAACTTGCGCATGACAGCCTTGAGGAGCTGCTTGCCCTGGAGCTCCTTCTCGTCGTTGGCGAGCTTGATCTCGAGCTTCTCGAGGAGAGTGGGGATCTGGTCCTTCTTGTCGTTGTTGATGGCAGCGAAGATCTTGAAGATGGGGTCCAAGATGAACTGGTTGAAGGCACGCTCACCACCCTCGGGGGCCTTGTTGGTCCACTTCTTGGTCTTGGCGTTGAAGTAGTTGTCACCCCACAGACGCTCAAGCATCTTCTTGCGGTCGACACCGAACTTGCGGGCGAACTTGACGGCGAACTGGCGGACAGTGAAGGCCCAGCCGTGGAGACCGGAACCGAAAGCAACGGTACCGCGGTCGGGGTAGACCTGGACGTCACCAAGAGCAGGGTCGTGGTAGGTGGAGATGATGACGTTGACGGACTCAATGGTACGGGAGAAGGACTGGTAGAGGTCCTCCTTGGAGATCTGAAGCTCGAGCATGGAGCGGTCGACCTTGTTGATGATCAGGACGGGCTTGATACGCTCAGTGAGGGCCTGACGAAGGACAGTCTCGGTCTGGACACAGACACCGGAGACACAGTCGACGACGACGAGGGCACCGTCAGTGACACGGAGAGCGGCAGTGACTTCGGAGGAGAAATCAACGTGACCGGGGGAATCGATCAAGTTGATCAAGAACTCGCCGCCGTTGCAGCCGGGGATCTCCTTGAGGTCCTCCTCATCATCGAACTTGGCGTACAGGGAGATGGCAGTGGACTTGATAGTGATACCACGCTCCTGCTCGTCAGGACGGGTGTCCATGTAACGACCCTCACCAGCCTTGGCGGCAGAGATAATACCGGCACGGTGGACCAGGGCATCGGAAAGGGTGGACTTTCCGTGATCGACTGAGAGAAGGGAAGGTCTGTCAGCATTTCACTCCCAACAATTGATACTTGGTGGTGAGTTCAATACATACCGTGGGCAATGACGGACATGTTCCGAATGTTGGTCGGACGGTCCATCAGGCCGCGGATCTACATGGGGTTAGTTCTCATGCACAGAGTTTTCCCATCATCTTCCCCAACTGCAAGATAGGATCATGCAAGCGGATGCGGGGGAGTCTTGTCTGAACGGACCTCTTCGATAGTGAAGCTATACGGGACATTGTTAGCATGGTATTCTCATCTCAAATAACAACCATCCTCATCCTTGATCGGATCACTCATGATGGGATCGATGTCGGGGAACGGGGAGGTGGGCAGCAGCAGCAACAGGACAACATACTTAACCATCTTGACTGATTTTTCAGATCAAGGCCGTAGAGGCGGGGTTGGATATGTGAGGGAAAAGGGAAAAGAAGAAACGACACACAAGGGTCACGATCGAGAGCTAGCTCGACCTGTGAATAATAGGACAAAAAGGACCTATGTGCGAAGAAACTCCTTTAACAGAGGGAGAGAATGATGGCTTCACGGCGGAAGGTGAGGAAAGGAAAAAGAGAGGGAAAAGGGAAGAGGAGGAGAAAAGAGGGGAAATGAAGAGGGAGGGAAAGCGAGAGGGCGGCTGGTGGGGCTTGCAGAGTATTTTTTTTTTCTTTGCTGGTGGGATTTTTTGTGGCCGATTTCAAATCTGGGATGTGCGTTTTTTTTCCTGCTGGTCTCGTAGTACTTGCCCGGCCCCTCGTTTTGTGACCGTTTTGATCCGAGCAACGTGGGTGGTGGCGGGTGGTGGCTCCCCACCACGAGGTGGTAATAATACTGTCCGGTTGGTGATTTGTATAGTACTACTGTACAGAAAGTATTCCCCTACCATACCATATCCCATTTGGGTGCCCGCTCTCTTCCCATCATCATCATCATCCTCCATATCCTCCACCATTCCATGGAGTTGGACCATCAGAAGGCACTCACTGAAGAGTCAGAGGAGATATTGTTATTTCTGATGACACAGAGAAGGGAGTCAGTCATTTCAGTCTGTCAGTCAGTCACCTTGACCATTGAATTACTGAAACCCGAGAATTCAGGCAATTTTCTCCGTACGAAATAGTTAGTGCTTGCACGGGCTGGGCTGGCTATACTTGCTTACCCGTGACTTACCACCGTACTGTACATTGTACGAGTAGATAGAGTCTCTCCTATAGCAGGGACCAAAGCAGACCATGGTTACAATTCCCCCCTCTACAAATCAGCTACGTGAGCTATCATAGCTCAGCTCAGCTCAGCTCAGCTCCGCTCTTGTGCTCTGCACTGCACTGCACTTTTTACTCTCACTCACACAATTAAACTCCCGACCTACCCAAAGGTCCAGGACAACAAAATGGATGCTTCTCTCCCGGGGTGCGTGGTGGCAAGAAAAACCAGCCTGGAGGCTTGGGTTGATATCATGATTTCGGAGCTGTCTGCTCTGGTTGGACCGTGGATGCTGGGCCGATGGAGCTCTTCGATGATTTGCCGCTGACTGCTAGTCTGACGTATAGCACGGAGGGAAAATCTCCATCGTGTATCAGGCGAGTGGGAGTGGTCTTGTTGGAGGCGTGGAAGTGGAAGTGGTTGACACACTAGGTACTTCTGCCACTCATGCATTCAATCATTATTATCATCCTGACTTGCTGCACTGTAGGTCAGTTCATTGCAACGATTATTGCTCGGATGAAGCAGGAATCTTAGCTACCTAAGTAGGTAGTAGGTAGTGTACGGTATGGTATGGTAATGCCCCTCATGGGCTTTGAGTCGCTGACAGGCAAACTTTCCCCTCCATGTTCACCGCCTCGCCGACAATTGGGTGGCGGAGTTAAGGATGGCGGGGAGTGCACTGCATGCATTGGATGCAGCAGTTCTCCTCCGTACAGCAACCGTACTGTACAGCCTACCCGGCCGGTGGTCCCACAATCTGCGTCTTCCACCTTGTGCCGCTTTCCTCCGACCTCTTTCGGTGCCTCAGGCATTGTGAATCATTCTATCAATAGCCACCAAGTCAACGGATGGGACATCTCTTCTCATCTCTTCTCCTTCGCAAATAAACACCAATTATTGTTAAGATAGTATATACATTACTTGTACGCTAGAGATATCAAAAAAGGTTCTATATACAGTCTGAAGTGATTGACTGAGTAAACGGCACATACGTCCTTTCTCCCCACAACCAATGGTCCAGCACAGATAGGTAAGACCAACACCGGTTCACGCACAGACTCGACATAAAACCACAGCATAAGGAAAAGCTGCATGGCATCACGACGACCCCAGGATCTTTGCATATGCATCCTCCACCTCTTTCGCCAGTTCCAGAAGGGTAACAATGATGATCTGATGAGTAATGTTGGGCAGCTTGTCCCGTTGAAGCCCAATCCACTCCAGCGGTGGGGTAGCCTCGCCCATGTCGCGCAGTTGCGGCGTTTCGATCACCGGCGTCTCCAACGCCACATAGCTATACTTCGACTGCGGCACATTGACCACCGCCGTGATCTTCTCCTGCGACTCGTTCTCGCCGCCGCCGCCGCCGCCCCCATCGGCATTCAGCGCCCCCGTGATGCGCACCGCGGACGGAGGCAGCGGCTTACCGAGCCGGGTGGCCAACGCGCGCGAGTGCGATTCCCACATGTCCCGGATGAAACTGATGCGGGAGTAGTTCCAGCCGACGTCGACCTTGCCTTCGAACGTGCTCTGAAAGATATATTCGATCTGGTGGGATCCTGGCACCTGCCAGGTCTCCATCCGAGCCACCAGTCGCGGCACCTTAAGGATCGTGCCTCCTCGGGATCCAGTGACACGATTGCCTACTTCACCGACAAGTAGAAGCTCGTCTGCATCCATGGAACCGGAACGAACAACGTTGGACAGAGCAACCCGCAGCTGGCCTAAGGTCAGACCCAGTGCACTATGAATCTTGCCCTGGTCGAGTGACACATCAAACCGAGCCTGGGCATCCCGTGCTTCCAGCTTGAAGACGTGATTGTCAAAGAATGAGCGCGGGAAGACGCCCATGGTGACCACGTTGATACTAACCACCACTCCGGTATGCAGTGAAATGGGTGCTTCTTCCGTTTCCTCCTTAGCGGGCTTGGAGATTTCCCGTGAGCTTGTCTCGGTTTTCTCCGAAAACACGGAGGTCTTGCGACGCAGGTACCGCTCGATGTCTTGTAGAGATGCTTCGTACGCTGCTTGCTTATCTTGAACGAGTCGCTGCCAAGCCTGGAAGAGAGCCAAGGCTTGAGAGGCAGTCATACTAGTGCAAAACACCTGCACCTGATCTCCATCGAGGATACTGAAAAGCCGCTCGTTGGGCGCATCGGCCGTAGGGCGAACATTGTACATAAAGAACGCGAACCGAGAGATGTGAGCGATAAGGAACGGTTGATAATCAAAGGAGACTTTCACGTCCAGCTGGCTGAAGGATATGGACGCTTGAATGAGTGGGGTTCTGTTGTCTTGCTGGTCGTGGGGCCAGTTGATCGAGGTCTGGATCTTGAAAGTCTGTAGTTCGACGAGCCCGCTCATCCGGCCTTTGCTCTCAATACCCACTGTGTGAAAGCTGACGCAAAGGATTTGCTCCCAATCAGATGTCTTCTTGGTCGACAACCAGAGGTCAGTGATTGCAAATTGCGCCTTGCCCAGAGTGGATCCCAAGTCAAGTTGTATTTCCAGCTTCTCAATTGCGATCGTGGTATTCCAAGGGAAGGCAGGGGTTGCTGCAACTTGTTGATACCTCTGTACAATATAGGCTTGCGTGTCCTGCGATTGCGACTGGAAAGCAGGCCCGGGACTTATTTCATCGTTGGACGGGAACCAAATCTCGCGAAATAGCAATAGATCCTGCACCTGCTTTGCATTGAGTGCGACATTCATGGGACTGACTCGAAGAACGGCTGAAATGCCTTTTGAACTTCCCAGATGCTTGCTATTCATGATGGACATGACCATAGACTTCACTTCGAAGCTCGCAGTCGATTCATTGGAGTAGACATGCTTCACCGATGCTTGTAAGGAATTGAAAGCCACCAGAAGAGCTAGGAACCGCTCCTGCTCGTCCGACTGTACTGTATTGATCGTAACATAGACGCTATCAAATTGCGTGGTGGCTGCCACACGAGCTATGGGTTGGCAGCTCAAGCTGAACTCTTGCCTGCAAATCAAGATCCCAACATTCAACTTGCAACGGCCAAGAATTGAACCCGGATCTGTATTTGCAAGTGGGGTTTCTGACATCAGCTTTTGCGAATGTAGCATGACCGCATTCGAAGGTCGTCTGGCCCTTGGGTGATCTCCCATGACCTCTTTGACAGTGGTTGTTACCTGCTTGATCAAAGGAACGAGGCTAGGATAAAGCACATTCGTGGAGGCATCGACTTTTAATTCCGCGTTGAGAGCCGGATCTTCACGGCCATTGTCCTCGAATAGTACTTTCAATGCCACCCCTGGGGCCTTGAAAGTCGCCGTGGCTATGCCATCTCCATGAACATATTGACCATATCCTGACTGTGGAAGCTGGTTTCCCTTCAGACTTGCAGTCAGCATTGTCTGTTGATCCTCTGTATGCCTCCCTTGCAGGGATACAGTGGCTCCAGCGAAGTCAACGTCAATTAGCACAGAGCGGAAGCGTTTGTTTCCAAAGATGGGACGGAGTTTCACGCTATCTCCAGATGGCTTCGAAACCAGGATGTTATTGGCCTCCCTTATGGTCCGGACAGCAGAGGCAATCGAATCACGTATCATGCTGGCCGGAAGTATGAACTCCGAGGTAGCTCGCAGATCCAATGACTTTCCAGCAGCCTGAAAGGCCAATCGAACTTCCTTGCCCACGGAAGCGTACGCAACGTTGAAGACCAGTTCCGGCAAAAGGGCCGAGTTGAGTGAGCGCTTCTGCCGGTTACCATGGACCGGTACCATCTGTAACTGCATGTCTTCGATTCGGAGCTTGGCAGCATTTGTCTTCTTGTTTGACAACTCAACCCGGTTGATAGAGAATACCAAATCAGCCAATTTGTTTTCTGGTATTGCGGAAGACATCGTCATCATGTTCCATCCAAGCTGAATATTATGAAAGTCCAAGGAATAAATGGCATTGAAAAGTTCATCGGACGAGCTGGCATCGTCTACCTGTATCCGAGGAACTTCCAAGGACTTGCGTTCCGGCTCTGCATGCCCCCGACGCCGTAGCTTCTTAAATCGTTTCACTTCATGGGAGAGGTCCAAGGTTTTTATGCGCTCTTGGAGATGGGCAGCCAAGTCAACTAGCAGCGCAGCGCTCTCAGGGAATAGATCGACATTGAATTTTGTGCTGCTTAAATGTAGCACCCGCCTCATCTCGCCATTGTTACGCTGCATAGATGTTCCTTGAAGTTTGGCGTCAACAACAAAGCTGCAGTACGATCGGCTTCTTGATACATCTTGTTTCTTCAGATCCAAGCTAAGATTCGAGGAGTCGACGTGGAACTCAGGATATTCCATCGGGTGTCCGGCCTCCAAGCCGTTGTCCAGGCGTAGGCGCACCATCCCCAATCTGATGTCTAGATCCGCCGAGTAATGGTTTCCGTTGAGCGCTGGCGCTGTCGCATGAATCTTGGTTCCTGCCATGGTCATGCGCGCTTTGTAGAGAATTATATGGTCACTTGAAGAGTCCTTCCGCTGCGGTGGCGCTTTTCTGAGTGCAAGGACATGGTCAAGATGAAGCTGTAAGGTGTCCACATTCTGTTTGAGATCGCCCATAAAATGTGAAACTTCTGGCCTTGTCAGCGCGCCCAAAAGACTCCGCACGGCGCTGGCCTCGAGGTGAATGACCTCAATAGTGACGTCCACCTCCATCTCCGTGCGGCCAGGCGAGAGATCAGCAATGATCCGGCCGTTGATCGGAGGGATCTCGAGTGCCGAGAGAGAGTGCCATTGGCCGCCCTCATTGGATAGAAAAGTATGAAGGTTCCTCTTCAAATCAAAGTCTATCTCCATCTTAGATCCTCGTCTGGGCGTTATAGAGGTTCGCGCCACCTCGCCAGAGATGATATAAGTCAGCGAGGGTAGAACACAGAAACTCAACCGGTAGTCGTCCAGAAATACAGCGACATGGAATATGTTGCGGACCAGCTTCGTGGGGGCTACAGGGCCCTGCTGGTGTGCCGGGAACTCCACGCTGTTGATAAGCTCATAAACGAATCGAACCTCATCCTCTATGAGTCGATCAGCTATGTGTGCAAGGCTGAGCGGGTCCTCTTTCATGTTGTAGCGAAGCTTTTTGCAGGACGCCGCGACCATCCATTCGTTATTCAATCCAGATTCGTTTTCCTCGGACACTCGAGAGCCATATATATGAGGGTCCGAAAGTTTCCACATCATCAGTACTTTCGAGTTGCTGGATATCTCGGAGTAGCAGGCGCTAGCACTCCACAAGAAGCTTGTCATCTCATTAACCCCGGAGCTCGGAAACTTATGAACGAGCGAGCTTCTGAGCGATTTCCCAGCCAGCGCTAGCTTGACGTTGATACCATCAAGCGTGATCGAGCCCAGGTCAGCCCCAAGAACAAGTTGGAACTCAATGGGTTTCTTTGGGCTGTTTTCGTGCTTCGGTGCCGGTGGTGCGGACTCAAGTGTCACTGTAGACATGGTTTTCAGGACCCCTTCCACAAGGTCGAGGATCTCCCACCGCAAACGGAGGCCGGAAGACGAGCAGTAGGATTGCACAATGATTAGATCCTTGTGGTCTTTATCTTCAGCCGATAGGCTATCGTTCGGAACGTTCAGCGAGACAGCAGTTGCTAGATCTTGTACTCTAAAATCACTTTCCCTTGGGCCAGGATCAATGGAGACACGGAAAAGTTTCACTGTCGAAGAGAAGAGCATGGAAGCCGCTGTGTCTGTGGTATCAGACTCAGAACTATTCCACACGCTTCTCATCACGTAGCTCTTCTCGACGTGCGCCAAATCCCAAGCTCGCCATTGGTCGAAGCTTGACAACACCAGGTCTTTAGCGTTGGATGGAAGCTCGAAATCTCCATACAAGCATTTGTCGGTCAATTTAGACGCTTGAGCGGGTGGCAAGTGCTTATACACATTGCGTAGACGAGAGATGATCTTCCATGAATCATGCTGCCGTAAATGGTTTCGCGCAACTCTCAGCACATATGAAATACGTACGAGAAAAGAGGGATCAGGAATATTAGCTGCCTGTTGGGTGAGAAAATAGACAAGGTAACACAATCGCCTCTCGCCAATAGAGAGGCTATGCTTGAAAGATGATGCGATGGAGTCGATCATAGTCGTGGTTCTGCGGACCAGGGAAGCAAGGTGCTCCACAGATTTGGTTGAAGTCACAGTCTCGAAAGATCTGACTTGGAAGTTGGACCTTTGTATAGATCCTGTCACGAGCCAGAAGTTTATGTCGCCAAGGACACAGCTCAGTTCGGCCTTCTCCTGGTAAGCATCGGCGCGACAGCCTTGCACCGAGACCGAAAGGCCGTCTGCAGCTGCATGTACAGTGGAGCTCTTATCTACTCCTGCGACAAGGTCTCCCTTTCGCCTCTGGGTCTTGGTCCTAATTTCTGCTTTCAGATGCGAGACCACTATACTATACTCATCTCGGAAGCTAAATCCGTCAGTGACACCAGAGCCGGGATTCACTAATTTGACAAGCAGGTAAGGGGCCCTCATAGCAATGCTGGTGCATTTCCGCGGGCTTTTCATCGACTTCTCGTATGCCACGATGTCTGAAATGATGTCCTTTTGGAGAGAGTCAATGATATCGCTAGGGTGATTCGGCTGCAGATTCTCAACCAATGCAGACACGACGTGAAGAAACTCTGGAGAGCAAAAGCTCCTGATACCGAGTGGCAACTCTATAGCGAGATTTGTGTGAGTCGTTCCATCACTTTCGGGAGAGAAGGGATGACCAAGCTTGACATCAGCATAGTCACTTTGTGCCGAGTTAGCACGCGAAGCTGGTCGTTGAGGTAATTGGGCGGTATCCAATCTTATCTTGTGAAAGGAAAACGTAGGCATAGACCAGGGGCTTGACGCATCGCTGTTTCCGACTGGAGCAGCCTCGGAGCAGTCTTGGCCAGCGCGTTGCCGATTAACATCCCTGCCGTGGACTGTTGATTGAGAAGAATTTGGCTTCTTTCTGTCTGCGAGAGGGTATGCCACATGATTAGAGCTGTACGGTTGCCTTCTGCGGCCGCTCTTCACACTCGATACCTCCGACGATACGAAAAAGCTCCTGAAGCTGCGATTGCTTCCTGTTGTCGAAAATCGGCGCAATGAGGATGAGCTACCGGCAACACTACGGTACTTGCTGACTGGCTCGGGCATGGTAGGTATGGCAATTGTAGGTGAAGACAAGTCATCACCAGCCACCTGTAGTGAGCGAGGCTCAATGTCTTCCCAGTCAAATATTAGCCAAGGGGTGCGTTGTGTTCTTTGATCATGAAGCTTAACATGTTCCTGTTGTAGTTTGCGACTTCCGTTGGCATCTGCTTTCTGCTGCACCATTCTGAGGTTCAAAGTGGACTCGAGGAGAGCAAGAGGGGTAATAGTTTCATCGGGCAAGCTTCCAGATGACCCTATGGAATTGTAGTCAATGGCAGCAACCGAGAGATCAGGGACAAGTAGGCTCATGCGCTTTGAAAACCTCGTGTTCGCCCAGTCGTTAAACTTCGTTGTCACGAGACCAGTACTTAGGACCAGGGCTGCCCTTTCCAGGAGGATGGAGATATGAACGGCCTCAACCTTAGCTCGTAGAAAAGTAACATCATGGAGCTGCAACGGATTCAACAACGGAAGGGCGTTCTCTTCATTGTCGAATGAAAAATCGAAGCTCTTGAGCGCTCCTGTCAAGCAGCTAAGGAAATTTGTTGAGCATTCTCCGATGATACGGCCAATATCGAAGTCCCAGTTACAAACATACGTTGGCTCCGCAGGGGGGAGACCAAACAAACGATGGCCATAAACAGACACGCCGTCAATGAACAGCTGCGTGTCTGATACGGTAGGCGGGCTCGTAGATCTGCTTGATTCCAAGGCTGCCTTTAGCGGGGCAATGGAGAAATGCAAATCCATATAATAGTTTGTGAATCGCAAATCTGCCTCCAAGGACGCAGCGGTGAGCTTTATGCAGTTCGATTGATCATAGATGTTCTCCGGAAGAAGAGCGTAGGGGTTGTCGACTGTGACGTGCACAATCACGTCTAGATCATTCGATTGCCTGTGAGGGTTAGCCCCAAGCTGGGTTCCGGCGTCTTCCTGTGGGTAGGCAAGCTCCTGATATTCCTCTAGCGTCTTGAAGTGCATCTCCTCGCCGAAATAATTCTCTTTGATGGTCATGAAGGACCGAATAAGAAACCCGAAGAGGTAGAGTTTGGGAGAAAAGCCGTCAACGTTCAGAACCAGTGTATCCACCAAGTCGGGAGATGTAGTAAGGTAATAGTTGTATACGCCGTCAATGGTCAGCTTCTCGAGCGCAGCAGTGGACTTGCTCGCTAGAAAAGCATGCATAGTATCCCATACAGGGGTCAAGTAGTCAATACCAGCATTCCCGAGGGTGACATCGAAGGAAATAGCATTTTCCTCAGGCCTATACTTATTCAAGGGGATGGTGATGTTCGAGGTCATCTTCTTGCCCTTGATGGCCAATGTGCGGTTGTCATCCAAGTCAGACGGGTTGTTGACTATGTTCATATCATTAACATTCAGGAACAACTGGAAATTCGAGAAAGATAGGTTCATCTTATAGATAAAGGGGACAAATGTGCTATACTCCGGAGGTGGCCCGGATGCCCAGTCGGAAACAAGGTCAGTGATAAGGAAGATGTGATCTCGTAGCAAGAACAGCTCCATGTCATCGCTATTGATATCAAATCTCCAGGTACGCATACTATTCCAGGAGAGAGGAACGGACAGGTCGCAAGCGATCAGTTGCCTTGGACACTGCCACAGTAACGCGTGATTGACACTGGACATCAGCTTGGTCTCTCGGAGGTCAAGATCGAGCCGGCTCTGAAATCCTGATATAGAAGCTAACATATCCATGCTGTAGCGGATCGTCGAGTCACCAGCCACACGAAGCGATAACCACCCAAAAGGTCGTCTATCTGGACCGATATGACCTTTTTCTCCTTCTGCGCCACGCGACTGCCTCCTACTATTCTGTTTCTTTAACTTCGAGACACCTCTTATGGTATCAGCACGACCTTTCCATTGCCAGTCTTTCGATGGCTCTCTAGTAGGAATTCGCAGTGTGAGCTCATCATTGATCTCGACTCTTAAGGTAAACACTGTGGTCTTTCTCGTCTCTCCGGGATCCAGAGGCTCGGACGGCTCCGAGCTCCGAAACGCATTGGGGAAAAACACATTTTGCAGACCAACTCGTTCCCTATCGGCCCAGGGACCATAGTTGATAGTGCCACCATTGATCTTGACATCTATGCCCCATTCCGGAGGCGGGGCTCCGTTGATTCTCCACGTCGCATCCGGCAGCGATGAAGTTTCCGATGGTGGAAAGGTCTTGACACACCCCGGAACATCCCAGTAGTAAGCCACGGACATTCCAGGACTGTCAAGAATTGTCGAGAATCGACCATACTCAACGGGGCTCCACTCCTCGTGGTCATCCTGCGCGCTTTCGTCCAGGTATCGGGAAAGTCCGACCCAGCGCGTATCACTGCCCAGATCGATTGAATTTCTAGGTCCGGAATCGGCATGTTTCTGATGCACATGAAATGATTCTACCGACGTTTGAAAGTAAGGTATCAGATCACGGATACTGTGCCAGACTCGTCGTTTCTGAAATCTGTAGTTGAAGATAGGATTTCGCTTGTGCTTCATTCCAGCTTGATCCTCTTCGGCTGACCCAAGACTCTTTGCAGCGGCCAGCTGGTTCTGCTTGAAATCTGGATTTGGGCGCATCTGAATTACCGGATGGCTGAAATTGAAGGAAAACACCTGTCGGTACAGGTCGAGCGCCCCAGCATTGCAGGCCTCGATCAAACCAGTAGCACTGTCGAAAGTGGTCGTCAAAACCGATCTCGTGTTCTCATTTCCCATGACGATGGCACCCTTGTCACATTCCAAGCTTATCGGCAAAAGTCGTAGGAACCTTACTATGCCATCCCCCAGTTCCTGCTCGGACCCAGCCGCGTCCTGCGATCCAGCTGTAGCTGGCCTCCCTTGACTTTCGGCGCGAGCAGATCCGGCCACAGATGAATCCAGATTCCCTTCCTTTAAGTGCGGATCCAGCGCATCGCTCTCAGGATATTGTGGTTTGGTAGCCGAAGAAGACGAATTCGATGGATCGAATCCCGCCAGTATGCCCTCGTAAGCAGGAGCCCGGTTATATACGAACCACTCAAGACCATAGACCTTTGCTGTGATGCGACAAGGAAGAGCATCCGCATTCTTCGGTCCGCCTTGTTCCCCGCTGTCCGCTTTCCTGCTATCGGCATCGCCCGCGACCCCGGTGTCATGTTCTCTTTTCGCTGCTCCATCATTGCAATCCAGGCCCGCCACGTCTGTCCGTCTCACGGTACGTTTCCAGTAGTGCCATGTGATAAACCCTCCGTGTACAAAGATAGTCTCGTTCACGCCGTGGTATCGGATGCCTTTGAAGAAAATCCTCCCGCCCAAGGGCGAGATCTGCAGGGCTCGAATATCGACATAGGCGCGGTAATAATGCCAGGTATATGCGCGGACTCCGTAGGACACGAGGGTTGCAAACAGTCGATTGAAGTAGAGCAGGAAGAAGAGCACGCTTGGCGAAGCGATTAGTAGCCCGTTCTCCACGATCGCACGCGTCGAACACTCACAGAATACAGGAGACAATTAGTTCCAGGAGGAAGAACCTATGTGTTTATCATTAGTTAAGCAGAAGTCTGCTACATCGATGATACTAACCAATTAAAGCTTGGATCTGGGGTCAGGGATAAAGAAGTCAGGCTTGTGCCGGCCATATTCGCAGTCACCAAAAACGTTCACCAGCAGCGGACATGGTGACGCCGCAAAACAGGCAATGCGGTGCGATGCGCCCGCGGAAGAGTCCAAGCAGGGACAAGAAGGATCCAAGCTAGATGTCCATGGACGGAGAAGCGCTGAAAGACTGCCTTGAAGTGCGGGAAGATTTAGCAACTGCGAATCCTGGCACGGAGGAGGATAATAAAGGAATTGATGTTCATTAAGGTAATTGGACTGAATGTACTGCTTGTCATGAACGGAGTAGTAATCGAAGTGTACTAGACGTAAGTTAGGGGGGGCAGGAGGGAGCTTGGCCCGAAGTGGGCTAGAGGGGACTAAGCCTGTTAGTCTAGGCGGTGTCTAGGCGGTGTCTACCAAGACGGAGGGGGGGGGAAAGAGGTCGGACCTCGGAGAGCTCCCGAGTCAGCATGACGGGACGGGGAACCAGTGATGGATAAGGAATGCCCCCATCGTCTACGCAACTTCTCTCTCACCGCACAACAACACGCACACGACACTCCTGGCTGCTGTCCATCAAGCATGCGAGGGGCGCTCGCTTGACACCGACAAGGAATCGCTGGAAGATTTCCGATAACTGTTTATCTCTCACCCCGTTGACCGGATCATGCCCTGTTCGAAACACCATTGGGATTAACTTGCGGAATGCTTTGGCGGTGGTCGCATACATAGGCGTACGCGGACAATCAACCGCGACATTTTTTGACGATGAGCATCACCACTTCCTCCTTCGGTGGGACAGGCTCGAGTCTAGCTCAAGCTGTAGTGATAGTCGCTGGTGTATCCTCGCTGGTCGCTTCTCTGCTCTCTCTTTTGTACGAAGACTCCTCGTCCTCCGACCCCTCCCCCATCCTCCCTTCCCCCTCCCCTTTTGAACCCCCAGGCAGACAGATATCATCATCATGGTCCAGATGCTAATCGCTTCACCCCGTACAGGTCCATATGGCTCCAAACGTACGACATCCCATTCGCTCGTATATCTAGATCACGCGCTGATCGGTTGTTAGCAAAAATTATCGAAAACCATTACTCCAGCGTTATGTTGTCCGTATATTGTTGATGTGTGTACCCACTTTCGCCTCAGATCTGAGTGGAGCTGACGGATAGCTCAGGGTCCCCATATACGCGGTCTCATCATGGGCCAGCATCATATCTCTACAAGCAGCGATGTGGCTGGATCCGATCCGTGATGTTTATGAGGTAGATCTGTGTTCTGGCGATTCCCATCGTCACGGGCTAACGGCATACTCTCCAGGCATTTACCATCTACACATTCTTCCAGTTGCTTATCAACTTCCTCGGCGGCGAACGGTCGTTGATCATCATGACCCATGGACGACCTCCTATTCAACATGCCTGGCCCCTCAACCACATACTACCCAAAGTCGACATCTCCGACCCTCAGACCTTTCTCACCGTCAAACGCGGCATCCTTCAGTATACGTGGCTAAAACCCATTCTGGCCATTATATCTATTGTGATGAAAGCGACCGATACCTATCAGGAGGGCTACCTAGGTCTGACCTCCGGGTATCTGTGGACAGGCATTGTATACAACGTTAGCGTTACCGTCAGTCTCTATTCTTTAGCCATGTTCTGGGTTTGCTTGCACAATGATCTAGCGCCCTTCCGTCCGGTCCCTAAGTTCCTCTGTGTCAAGCTTATTATCTTCGCATCTTATTGGCAAGGCTTCTTCTTGTCGATCCTGCAATGGCTGGGAGCTTTATCGAACGGGGTTGCCGGCTACACACCGGACAACCTTGCGGCTGCCATTCAAGACAGCCTGATCTGCTTTGAGATGCCCTTCTTTGCTCTCACTCATTGGTACGCTTTCTCCTGGCATGATTATGCTGATTCGACGATCTCCGCCGCCCGGATGCCCGTCAAATACGCGCTTCGTGACGCATTCGGTGTCCGTGATCTTATTGAAGATACAAAGATGACGATACGGGGTGACAATTACGAGTACCGTCTTTTCGATTCGGGGGACCACATTATCGCACATGCAGAATCTGACTCGCGCGTTCGGCGTGTGATGCATGGTCTCAGATATGAACGTGGTGGTAAAGCCAAGTACTGGATCCCGACCCCTGGGGAGATCAACAGCCGGACACCGTTGTTGGCCGGGTCGGAAGGCAGCAGCCGAGACCGACGCAGTAGCACGCTAAGTCGCATGCATTCACACAACGAGATGGAGGAGACAACTCTGGATGAAGATGACGAGAGGCTGTTCAACAACGCTCGAGCGCTGGAATTTGGGGATTGGAACGTAGGTCACTTCATCCCCTAAACGAGGAGATGTGGTCAGCTGACTGGAGCAGTACCCCGTGATCACCGCGAACGAGGTGCCAGCAGAGCAGCGCCTCGCACGTCAGCGAGCCTCACCACAGCGACAGACATCAGGGGTCGTCAAGAAATCCCGCAAGCAGAAAAAGCCGCGCCCTTCTAGTGGCGATAACAACCATCGTAGCGCAGAAGCCTCTCGCAGCCCGCGTGCAAGCTACGCTGAGCAGAGAGCCAACTCCGCAGCCTCCTACGCCTCTCACCCAAGCCAAATCGTGGATCTTGTTGTCGAGGATCAGAAGGCTGAGGAGGAGGAACGACAGCTGGCGCAGAGGGCATTTGGCTCCACGACGGTCGAACCCGAACACCGGCACTTCCAGTATGTATCTTCTAGTTTATAGCGAAAAGTACATGATACTAACAACCGATTCTAGGAGACCAACGGGCGAACCGGTAGATGAACGGCATGGCGATGACTTCCACGCATTAATTCACCCCGAGGCAAATGACGAGGAAGAGGAATCCAGGAGACAGGGCTGGGCCTACGGGGACCTGGAAGAAGACAATGTTTGGGGCCGGTAGGTAGCAAAGAGCGAGCTTCAGGACCAATAAAGTTGCATGTGTGGTGATTGCGCCTGGAAATAGTTTCGAGATCATTTTATTTCTGTGATGTGGAGGAGACCTGTACTGTATAAAGAAAGGGCTTGTACGATGAATGAAGATGAGGCTAGTGTACCCGAGCCATGTGCTTTTTTTTTGATTAACCCACGCTCTTTTTTCTGTCAGGGGCATTTGCGTAACGAGCCCAGAGCAAGTGATGATGGATGATGTGACGGGGTTTCCTGTCACTCGGGCTGATGGTTGGTTCCCCCCAGCAAATGACGGCCAGCCATTACGCGCCCACCACGCTATCTTCCGGATTGATAGGATGATAGGAGGACTGACATGGTCATCATCAATGATGGCTGATCGACAGCCCGACACGCTGGCGAGGAGAGGGGAGACTCGAGAGTGGAAGAAAAGGGACTTTTGCTTCCCCGCTATTGGTGTGCCTCATTTGATTAGGGCAACAGGAATGGCACCACGACCGTCACATCCTCTGCCTCGTCCTGCCCCCTCATTAGTCCAGAGGAAATGGCTGATGCTCGAGCTTCTATCTGAAGCAATCTCGTAGTTTGTACGGAGTAGTTAGTCTCTTTGTGTGTGTGTCTGGGTCTCGGGGAGGAAGTTAAATCACCAGGTCTTTATCTTGCTGGTTCTTTGTCTGTTTGTCTGTCTGCCTGTCTACCTGTCTGTCTGTCTGCCCTTTCCTTCTCCCCTACTCTTGTCTCTCTCTCTCTCTCTCTCTTTCTCTCTCTCCCTGGAGGCCTGAGAGGGTGCTTTTTGACTTTACTTTCCTTCCCTTTCCTTTCCTCCCCCTCTGTGGTAGCTGGTAGCTGTCAACGTTATTCCTCTTGCTTTCATTCTTATTTTCAGACTCGTCAGCAGGCTTGTCTGACATCTCGTGTTTCTAATTCACTCTGCTTGGTCCCCTCCCCACCTTTCCTCTTCCCCACTGTCTGTTCGCCGGATCCACTTCATGATGGATCAACACATTTAATGCGCTGGCAGCCATGAAGCAGGCAATTGAACAAGCAGGATCTATGTTCACTGGCTGGATATCCTCCTGCTCATTCTGTGTGCACTCCGGGGATGACGAGGCGAGTTACGACCATCATCAACAAGCCATGCAGCGCAAAGGTAATGTCCATCCATCGGTCCAGCCTTGAGTGTATACACAAAAACACACAGCCCTAAGTCGGCTACTTTCCAACCTTACAACACAACCCCTCACGGAGTAACTGACTGAACTTCCTCCTCTTTCCCCTACAGGTGCCGAACGGGAGATGAAGATATGCCACACCCAGCAACCGCGTCTCATTCCCCCGATGAAGCCTTTCGTCTACGATGAAGCTCCCACCCCGCCACGCCCTCAACCCCGGGCTCCATCCTTCCCCTCATGGATGCTCGAAAGCAAGAACCGGGCCAGCATCTCCCTGAAGAGAAAATCGACCGCCGCACCGCCCATCCGCATCAGTGCCCCGTCCGACTTCCGACGAGTGTCGACTTTCCTGCCCGGCGCTGATATTGCAGCCGCAGACGGCGGATTCTACTCTCCGCTGGAGCTGAGCTTCAACGTCCCGGGCCGCCAGCTTCCAGCGCTTCCTCATTTCGATGATTTCCCTCTCGAGACCGATCGTCGTTCCCCGATCAGCCTCATCCGGCCTCCGCGAGCCGTAGCCCTAGCCGGCGAGAACGCTCGTCTGCCTCTGTCTCAGCCTCAGCCCCGAAGCCAACATAGACCAACTTCATCATTTCAGCTACCCCGTAAGCCTGTGGGGTCTGGCTCACGTCGTTCGTCCCTCGCAGCGCACGAATATCTTGGGTTTGGGGAGAGACAAGCCACCACCACCACCACCACCAACAGCAAAAGCAGTGCCTTCATCCCTCACTTCTCGAGTCGTGGCTCTTCTGCCGTCGCTATCGTGCCAGGCACGAACACAGACGAGCAAAATCCACGCCGACAGCCCAACAATACAGCAGCAGCAGCAGCAGCAGCAGCATCCAAACCCCCCAGAACACCACCCTACCCCCCCAACCTGCAGGACAGGCCCTTACCAAGCATCCCCACCGCCGAGGAGGAAGCAGAAGAAGGAGAAAACTCCCCGTCATCGCGAAGCACAACCTCCCACAGTCATCCTCCCCGAACCCCCTCCGACGACCGCGAGCGAACCCCGTCCCGCTCCGGCCGCGTCACGCAATGGCTCTTCCACGCCACGAGCAGCCACAGCAGCAGTCCAACCACCACCAAAAACCACTCCCCGGCCCCCTCCCCTCCCACCTGGCCGAACCTGAACAAGGAAAACCAGTCCCAAAAGAGCGGTAACAGCCCCTTCCGCATCCGCTCGCGCACCCTCAGCGGATCGACGCTCGCTTCCTCGATCACCAATCTAACCGGAGGAGGCTTCAAGAGCAGCACGGCAACCACCACTTGCCCTGCTCCTGCAGCAGCTGCATTTCCCGCGAAGGGGATCTCAAGCAAAGAGCTAGGCAGTCCGTTCACCCCGCGCGTGCCAGAAGACCGCAGCATGTACCCCACCATCTTTGAGAGCGAACATCACCAGCAGCAGCGGCAGTCTCACCACTCCCACTCCCACTCCCACCAGGACCAACACCAAGAAGGAGAGTACGAAGACCTGCGCCAATCCCAGTACTACGAGAACTACCGCCACTCGGCCGTTGGCCTTGCCTTCTGAAGGTTTCCCACATCCCCTGATTCAAAACGCAACGCAACACTCTCAAAAACCCTAATCGTCAATCCTCAAGATACATAACAGACCCCCCCCCCACCCTGTACGGCCTCCTCACCCGGCCCATCCCCCGCAATCCCGTCCAGCTTGGTCTCACTCGTTATACCCCTACCGAAACCCCAGCCAGCCCAAATCTCGATTGATATCAATGCCCCTTATGCCCATGTTCATGCCCAATGCCAATGCTAATACCTTAATGCTCGGATTTTATCCCCCCCCCCCTTTTTCGCTTTTCGCCTCTTCTCGAATCACTGATCTCGGTCCATAAGCATAAAGCATACAACCCATTCGTTTTCTCCCAGATAAAACAGGCAGGCTGCTAATTCTTCATACCCCGGCTCCCTCCTACCTTCACCGTTCCCCATCACCCTCGCTTACTCATAATGTCTGTTCTCCGTGGTTTTCTCTCGTTTGATATTCAAGGATGATAATGGGGATTATCTACAGTTGCAGTTGCATAGATGGAGCATAATTGACCTACCATACGCTCGTTTAGTTGTCTGGGCGGTTGCACTTCTTCGGACTTGAAAGTAGAGGGTAGTGATATTTTGCATGCAACAAGGGTATATACAATGGGAAACTTCAGCACCTACGTATCATACGGAGAATAGAGACGAAGCAGAACAACATAAATACTTCACTGCCGCAACACGAAACGTCTGGATATCTTCAGGTATATAACAATTCCAAATCGAATCCATCAAACGCAAACTGTCCAAGGACAGCATGTCAATCCTTGCATACACCTTCGTTTCACTTGGTATCATGTCTGAAAAGGGGAAAATAACAGTTTCAATGCAAGAAGAAAAGAAATTTGGCAAAGTCCACCAGCCGCGTATTTGTTTCCCGTATGATATCTCCCTCCAAGGTCCCCTATGGATATCTCTCAACCCTTGGCTTAACTCAACAAGATCAAGTGAAAAAAAAAACGACAAACATCTGGCGAAAAAAAAATGACAGAGAGGAGAATATCACCGGGAGGGCAGACCCAACAAGACCAGGAGTAGGTGACGGATATTGACGGATATCAACACAACAATCCTGTATTCTTTGAATGTCTTGCCTCCTTTTCCTGTTTTATATCTTTTTTTCCTGTGACGTCTTGATTGCATGCATGCACTCTGTGGTATCAAGAAGGATCCGAAACACAAATCGCTGACAACAAATCTCAAAAATAATATCAAAAGAAAAACACTAAAGTCTCTTGGGGTATACTGCTGCAAATTGACATTGATTTTAACGCGGTGGCCCGATTGGGGCCGGGTATCCAGAAGTAGAATTGGAAGTACTAGGACGACCACTGTCAAAAGAGGCGCGCGGGTCATGCTTGGGTGTCATGTCCCCTGGCGCGGTACCGAATGGAAATTTCGTGTCAAAGCGCGCGGGCCAGCCATTGCTGCTGCTGTGGCTGTGAGAGCTTCCGAGGACCGGCAGGTCGTCCTCGGCAAGGTTCACGCCGGAATCGTTCCATGGGTTGCGATAGCCACTGTCGCGGGACTCCATCGAAACCAAGGATGCCTTCGACGCATTGCTGGACGCATGCTTGAAGAAAGACCCTGGAGAAGCCGAGTGGTTCTTGCGTCCAATGAACGAGGAGAAGGAAGAGATACTACCAGGCTTGCGCAGTCGCTCGAAAATGGACCCGCGCTCGCTGGTTTCATCGGAGAAGTTGGGTCGGGTAGGAGAGTCGGTGACGAGGGGGGCAGGAGCATGCTGCAACAATTTGGAGTCGAAGAAGGGCAGGGACTCTTCAAACGAGTCAGACTTCGGTCGCGGAATGGCGCCCTTGACTGTCGTCGCGTCAAGTCCGTGAGCCACAAGGCGCGAGATCAAGAAATCGATCGCATCCTTCAGTCCGCCGGCATTATTGCGAGTGTATCCGAGCACCACGCGGTCTTCAGGCCCGAAAGTTGGAGAAGAGGACCCCGAGGCACTGTCAGATGTCGGAAGGTCCGAAGTTGTATCCACGGTGGTATCAACTTCGTATTGTTCCTTCAACTTTGCGCAGACATCTTCACGGAAGTCGGGGGACTTGAAGAAATCTCGCAATTCTGCGGAGCTTTGGAAGAGGAGTTCGTGACTCTCAGGGACCATTCCCTATAACGGTAATTAGAACTGCAACCACGGAAAAGATAGATAGTACATACCAGTAAGGCGTCAACCGCCTGCGGAACCTGGTATTCCGGTCCAGAGATGTTCACGACGTCACTAGCAAGCTCGGTGCTAGGGAACTCAATCTTGCAGTTCCACTTCTTCTCAAGCTCATCGATTTCAGAGATGCGGGCGAGCAATTCACGGTGATAAAGCCGGTTGATGACCACTCGTTCCGAGACATACTCGGCATCCTGTTCCCACATCAGATAAGGGTCACCAGTGGTTAGACAGAATGTAGACTTACGACTTTCTCGACCATGTCCATGATCTCCTGCTTCACCAAGTCGAGACTCTGAGCATTGCGTGCAGGAGTCCGGCAGATGACGTTATCAACCTTGATATCATCGTCCTCTTTGCCCATTCCGCCGCGGTCCATGGCGTTCGAGAATTTGACGAAAACCGAGTATTTCTTCATGATGCGCTGGATATGCTGACCACCGATTCCGATGATTCGCTTGTGATATTGATCGGGCACATGGAAGGAGATCGAAGCGGGCATCTCCTGCTCAACAAGATCTAGGCCGTTCTTGGTGGATTCGTACTGGTTGCCGCACACGTCGATGTAGAAGTTGTACTCGTTGAAACCATCGAAAATGATTTGCACATTGCCTAGAAGGGTCAGCCTTTTCGCTCATGCGGCCAGTCACAAGCAATGAACGCACTCTGTCCCATGATCTTGTTGATCTTGCCATTCTTCTTGCCACTGACAAACTCCTTGTGCTCATTCGCAAGTTCGATCTTGACGCGCATCTGGTACTGGCTCCGCTGGACAAATGGGATTTGGTTGATCACCATCATCGCTGCCTTGACAGCATCATCTGATCCATTGATGGTGAAAGTCAAGTTGTCAAAGCTGACCTCGGCACCCGAATTGCTGCAGATGTCGGACAGCATTGTACGAACGTCGGCGGCGGGTGGGGCGCGTAATCCACCTTGGGACGGGTCGGGCATGATAATCCACCACGAGGCACTGTAGAACTGGCCGGCCTATCATGATCTGTCAGTGACACCTGATGAAAAGTCTTCCGCCCGAGCAACGACACCACCTACCAAAGCCATGATCTCGCGAACTGTGCGCTCGACGTGCAGAACCTCTGTGCCCTGGATGCGAACCACACCCCGCTGGATTCCCAGCTGGGGAAAGTGGACGTAAGATCCGTTCATCTCCATCACCTTCCGGACTTTGTCAAGGCGATCAAGCAAAATGTTGTCGATTTTGTTCGAGTTGACGATGACATCCTTCACATAGATCTTGACCCCCAATACCAGCTCCCGCAATTTCTGCTTGGCGCGAGCAATCTGCTCTTGAGTGTCACCCGTGATGTAAACCTCGTCCTCACTGCGACGGTGGGCACCGGGGGGCGTGTATCCGAAAATGCGCGGGAATGGCGGAGGGAAGTAGATGGCCGTTCCGGTCGCCGCCTCGATCAGCTTGATGTTCTTGCGAGTCCGACCGCAGACCAAAGTGTGCATGGTGAGCTCCAGCTTCATGGCATCCACGTGACGTTTGAGCTAAGCATCGTTAGTATCCCGACCGTCTCCTTCGTCATAACAAGCACCTACAATTTGATCAATCATGATCAACACGCGAGTCTTAGCATGCTCCGCGCTCTCCATGTCACCGTAGATGGACACCCGGAACCGCTGGTCCAGCCCATTATCCGACGCGTAGCCATAAGAGGAGATCACAGCACTATCATTGTCGCGAATCTTGGGGTTGAGGAGGAAGATATCGGTGCCAGTGTATGCAGCCAGGGTATCGAGATGCTCCAGAACACTGGAACGGATATTCTTGGTCGATCCGTCAATAATAAGATGGACGTCAACATCCACGGTCGCACAACGCTATTAGACCAGGATCATCAGTATTGAGCAAGCAAGCAAAAGTCGCCGTAACGAAACAGGACTATTATTGGGGCCGTACCAGCAAAATTGGAGTCTCGTTCAAGACCCTTGCCCGCATCTTGCGCACAGTCTCTCCATCGCCGGTGATACAGACATTCGTCGCCAATCCTTGGGGTCGTCGTTGTAGTGAGGGGACTGTTTTGGGCTCGGACGACGTGACAACAGCCTCTACTCGACCGTTACTGCTCTCGGTGATCTGGCGACATAACCTCCGCAGGGCCTCGACATTGCTGGCATGGACGGGAAGCTGGTGGACGGGGGTTCCGTCCGGGGTGCCCTCGGGAAATGACCAACGCTGGAGAGCACCAGGACTCGCGTGCAGGACATCATCGGCATCGGGACCGGCCAAGGTGGAGGAGAATGGAACATTGAAGGAGAGGTTGACGGTAGGGTCAATGCCGGTGGGCGGAGTCATCGGAGGTGCGCCGTGCGGTCGACGAAGAGAGTGGGAGCTCATATCGGTGTGCGGTCGAGACATGCCGAAAGTGGGTGTCATTCGCTCCCAGCCATGACGGGCCTGACCCGTAAAGTTGGAGATCTTGTGCATGACAAGGGTAAGTCGAGTCTCTGGCCCCTTGAACGAGTCGAGGGGAGAGGAGGGGGAGGGTCGAGCAGCGGAGAGAAGGAATGGCGAATGAACCGGCGGAAGAGGGGCAAGAAGGAAAAGACAAGGCGAATGCAGCAGTAGGGGAATCAAAGAGAGAAAGTAGGACGATGAGGAGAAAGAAGAAAGTCGAGGCGGACAGACAAGGCTTTAGTTTGTCGCCAGTCTCGACAGGGATATGGTGTGTTTTGGGGGGGGGGAGAGGGGGGAGGGAGGTGAGCGCACAAGGGGAGGAGGAAAAAGGAAGAGGTGGTGGAGGTGGTGTTAAGGTAGAATGGATTGGGGTGGAGGGGAGGGAGGGAGTGGTTAGTTTAGTGGGAGGGAGCGTAGTGTGGGAGAGAGAGACAGAGAGAGGCAGAGAGAGGGAATGAGGGAGGGAGGGAGGAGGGAGACTGAGGGAGTTCGAGTGACAAGACGAAGAAGGGCGCCTTTTTGGGTAATCCGGAATGGGGTGGGAAAAGGCAATCAACCACCTTGACGGGCCAAAACGGGTATCGAGGATGATTGAACCTATAGTATCTGGGCTGCGGACAACACCAAAAATAAAATAGAATAAAACAAAGCAATGTTCGAGAAGATAGAATGTCCAAAATGAGGACGATAAGACGGCGAGGAGGAAAAGAAGAATAAATCGAGAAAGGGAAATAAAGGAAAAGGAAGCAGAGCAAAGCAGTTCAAAGCAGACTGACTGGGCTGTCAATCAATCAACAAAAAATGGGCGTTGGGTTTTTTTTGGCCGCGAGAACTTGACAATTGATTCAAGTTTAGTCAGTCGATCAGAGCACGGAGGGAGAAGAATGAATCGGAAGAACAAGGCGGGGGTGGGAAGAGAGGGAGGAATTCCTCTGGCCGAATTCAGGAAGAAAGGCTTGGGGAGTCCAGCAAGCAAGCAATCAAGCAAGCAAGCAAGCAGCAGCAACAGCAACAGCAACAGCAAGCAGAGTTGGATGAATCCATCACAAGAGTAAAAAAGAACACAGCCATCCATGGATGGATGGATGGATTGGATGGAGCGATCTTCTTCTGGCCGGGTGGTCTTCCTCAGGCACCAAACTAACCCGTTCACAGCCAACTCAATCAACAATCAGTCGACTAATCAATCATCATTGATCCTGATCAATCAATCGAAATATCAATCCATCAAGGAGAATTCATTATCGGAAGCTACCTCGTGCTTGGTTTCCAAAATTGACCAAACTGTGTGCTATAAATGTTCTGATCCTTCTCCTTCGAACCACACCCCCAATAACTACTACTAATCTTCATCCCTCCTCCCCTCCTTCTTCTTCATCAGGCGGGACACGGCGGGTACTCAGCCCAGTGTCTAGGCCCAATGCTGGCATTGTCTAGCCAAAGTACGATCGTGACCAGAAGCAGGCTAACCCTCACTAGAGTCGATACTAATGAGTCCTGCCTACTACCAGAATAGTAGTCATCATCGTCCTGACTAGTCCAACTAGGGATCAGTCCACCCACCCAGTGCCCCCTTCTTGTCCTCCTAAAATCTACACTATCCCTGATGAATCCGGAGTACAGTTACAATAGCCGAATTATACTCGAGTCGTACTTCGAAACAGAGAGAAACGAAGCCTGACTCACTCACTCCCTGCCAGGCCGTTTCTGACAGAAGTCCACAACATTCCATCCCGTCGTTCTCCATACTGGGGCAAAAACGGGCTGGAAGGAATCCCGATAACAATGAAAGGGAACGCTGAACAGTGCCCAGCAATTTAAAAGGAAACACAATTCCTGCCCAAAGACATTCCCACTTCTGTTTCTTCGAGGGTCAGGTCAGGTCAGATAGCACTCTTCCTCATGTGAAGAATCGAAGGATGGGCGATGTGATCATCCACCACTGCATTGAATTTCCTGTGCACGGTCCACCCACCTTGCCCCTTTGGGCGCTACAGGCGACTAAGAGACTGCATTCTACGCAGTCACGTGTAGCCATGGTTAAGGCCCCGGGGTTCTTACTAGTAGTCTATGGGTGTCAACATTCAACTACAGTCCAAAGACTGGACTATATAGTATGGAATTGCGGAGAAAACGGAGGGTGTGAAGAAAGCATGTGCAACACACACAGAAACTGACTTGCGAGCCGAAAGTCCAGGAGATAATTGCCCCCCCCGGCGGAAGTATCCCAGACCCGGTTGTGAACTGGCGATCCAAGCTCGGAAGTGCTGGGAAAGGGCAGGGGCAGATCACTTGAGTCCGGTCTAGCCTGGTGGTGGCCTACCTACCTCTATAATCAAATCAAGCTCTTTGCCGGATTTTCCTTGATAGCGAGCAAGCAAGCAAGCAAGCAAGCATGAGGGGGCCTTACCCTCCCCCAACAACAGAAGACCAGACAGGATCGACTCTTACTGGGCTGAACCTCGAGCCCTCTTGGGGCTGAACAATCACACAACTAACTACCTTACTCAGTAGTAATATGTGTGCGTACACTGTACACCTGGAGACAGAGTCGCGTTGTTGAATTTGCCACGCGTCTGAATCGACCCATCCATTTGCGCTCCTGCTGTCACTGCTAATTACTACTGCTACACTCAATCCTAACACAGCAGTACATACATACATACATACATACATACATACATGCATACCAGTCTGGATCACGATCTCTCCCCGGTAACGGGCAGGAATTTGCAATCTACCAGACAACTACATACTACACCCAGAATATGTACCGTACTTGAAGGGGCGAATAACCCTCCCTCAAGCCCGTTAGTTAACTCAACTTACTAATGCATGTCAATACTCCAGACAGCAGCCACTCAGCGGGAAGGGGCTGTACTCAGTAAACCGGATTGGAGGAGAGAGAGAGAGGGAGGGGAGTGAAACACCACCGACCTTGCGTCACCGCGTATCATGACTTGGTCTCCGCCCGGCGAATCCAGGGTGAGGAAGAAACAGTCAAAGTGTCAGACACTTTCCCTCCCCTCCTCTTCTAGTCTAATTCTAGTTCCCTCGGCCGTTTTCTTTGTGTCCATCACGATGATGATCATCAAGCAGCTTGTCCCGTCCTAAGTTGAATCCGCATGGGTTTTGAAGAGAAACAAAACGGGGCTCAACGGGAACCCACGGGATAATCCTAACATCGAACAATAAGTTTGAGGCATCACAGGGAAAGACATTTGGCATTCGGTTTCGTTTCATCCAAGTCACACATGCTTAGTCACAATGACCAGCTGGTTTCTTTTTACAGTACTCAGTAAATATCACACAAACCTGAAAAGTAACAAAAAAAAAAAAAAAAAGCTCACCATAGTCGATCCCATCTCGTCCGATTCGTGGCAACCTCCCCGAGGATGGTTGTTCAAGAAACTGAACCCCAGACTTTTCCCGGGCCGTCTTATCCATGGCACCAGGATGGATGACCCCTCGACTTAACTGATACTTGGAAGATCATCGAATGACTACTTTCCTCCCAGGTTCGTATGCAAATGAACAACATACTAGTGTAGTGGTTACTTCCAACATTGATGGCAAATTACTGTAACTACCCGACCTCGATCGATCTCGACGCCCGAATCAGCAACGACGTCATTCATCAACCGCCTCACATCGCTCAACCCACTGCAGTGGGGGGTCCGTATTTCAATTCGCCTTCAGTACCTCTGTATCATTGCCATATGTACGAGCACTCGTATCTATCAATCCAAATTCTTTCATTTTCCAGATAAAGGCTAGAAAAAGAGATACCCTGCAAGCTCAAATGTGATAGGCCGTTCTGGCAGGAGTAGGAAAATACCTTACGCGAGCCTCCCAGCTTGAGAAGTGAGAACATATATGCATACGATGATGGGTAGCTCAATCACCTGCTCTGTATATTGCGAGTCGTTTGTCCAAGCCGTCTTCATTGCTTTATGGACTATGAGCACTTTTTGACAAAGGGGGAAAACATACAAGCCACGCAATCTTGGTTTATCAACGGTTCTATTCTCTAGAATTAAATCAGAGTAGAGGGAATCTAGATAGGATGGTGTGGGAGAGAAAGAGGTGCCAATTTCTTTTCTTGACGGTGCACATTGGGATACATCTAGTGTTGCATAATAGGTGAAGAACCACGAGGAACCATGATATCGAATGATATCAGTGAAGAGGTTCGGGGAGCGAGACATTTCATTCGAGCGATGAATTATCATGGACGTGAGCGATGCGAGCAAGGAACTATAGCGGCAGCGGCGGAGGCGGTATCCGTGTTGCCAGCAGAGCGGCAGAAAGCAAACTGCCAATCAGCATAGCTGATTACTCTGTGTACCACAGCACCAGAAGATCGAGATTGAACCGTGAATACCTTTTATCTCTCTACTACCCTCCTGGAATGATTTTCAAAATAGTTTCGCGTATACATCATCTCCATGCATAAGTAGCATGAACCCCAGTCATCTTGCTTGCTTGCTTTTGTAAGTACAATAAAACGCCCTCAAAGGAGACGTAAACTGAAAATCGACAAAATATATGGCGTGTTCATCTGAGAACATCAGACGGAAAGAGAAAAAAATACTTAGTACCGCGGAGGAGGAACTCGATGAACTACATCCCCTCGCGGTGCTCCTTCTAATACGACCCGCTCCGGATTCGCCGCAACACTTCCCTCATAATAACGGACGGGCTCCTCGCGCGCCAGAGGCCGCGTCGCAACATACATAGGCCGTTCCGCGTACTCGCGCGGCTGCCGGGTCCCGTCGTCCAGATACACACTCACGTCGCGCGCTCCGCCGGGGCGAACACTTTCCACTCGTTGGATGACCTCGCGCGGCTCCTCATACCGTCCTGCTGGGGGACGCACGCTCGGCATCCGTACGATTCGCTCACGGGGCAGTTCAGCCTCTTCAAGGTAATGTGGAGGTCGGCGGGTGGCGTATTCGGTCACTTGGACGCTGGCGCTACGTGGTGGATAGACATTTCGGTCATCCGGGCCGGCGGCAACGGTCGCGGGAGTGGCGCCCACATAAGGTCGGCGTTCACTCGGGACTGGGCGAGCGTACTCGGTGACGCGTCGATAAGCCGGCGGAGGGGGCATGTCCTGTACGTACCTCCGACCGCCGAAGGGGTCTTCAACGACGGATGCCGCCCGTAGGCTCGCGTGGCGTAGAGTGACCGCACGGTCATCGTAAAGCTCACCGCGCGGGGCTCGGCTGGCGGGAAGGTAATACTGATTGCCGTGCTCATCGACCACGATCCGTCGCGGAGGTGGCGCCATCATCTGACTCGTGGCCTCTTCCTCGTAGTAAGCTTCCCGGAGTCGAGGCGACATCGGCGATTCTCCCGCAGGAACATAGCGGCGTGTAGGCGGCGGGGGCAGTTCGTCATAGTACCGGACTCGTTCTGGTGCCGGCTGTTCCACGATAGCGTAGGATCCTGCGCGCAGAGAATGGGGGCTAGCCTGGTCAATATACTCGCGGGCATATTCAGGTTGTCGAGCTTGATGCTGGAGACTGGCAACTCGTCGAAGATCTTGACCGTCGCGCATCGGACGTCTCACACTGAGTCTGGAGACGGTCCGTTGAGCGCCAGGATCTGCATGATGAGCGTCATAAATTTCATACTCGTACCCTGGCTCTCTCATAGGCGGCTCCCTTCTCTCGATCACGGGAGTATACTGTGGCGAGGCAATGTCTATGTACACAGGTCGCTCCTGAAGTTGGCGGCTTCTGTACGTCTGTGGGGTATCTGCAAAAGGTGGAGGCGATACGGGTTCTTCCTTGATGTATGCCTCATCGGCAACCGTGGTGGCTTGCGCCTTATACGACGGACGAGACCGGTCTCGATCCTCATGCAGTCTCCTACGCTTTCTAGACGTCAAAGGATAGGCGGGTACGTCAGGACTGGCATGACGCTCCGGAGCATAGTCTGAACGCGCATGTGGGACCGACGACACCTTGGCGATCGCCAACGGGGAGACCCTAGACGGTTGTGGAGCGGCAGGCGAAGTGATGTGGTTCCGCACGACTCGGACATCATCGGCAGGCGAGACAGATTGTCGAGCGTAGCGGGCTCGTTCAACTGGTCGACCTTCCGGCGCACGTCGTTTGGTTCCGCCCGCGTACTCCCTCTGAACCTCGTAATTGTCTTCCCTCTCCATGGGCGCGACTCCGGGCGCAGGCGGCGAGTACTCCGGTTCTTCAAACGCGTCAGGTGGTTGGTTGTGGTTCGGGTACTTGCGGGATGCGTAGTCGACCTCGCCATGGTGCGGCTGCCTTTGATCATAGGGTAATCGATGGCCTGCCACGGGGTAAGTATCTTGCATATCCTGATCCGATCCAGTTCTGTTGAGGGCCTCAAGCCGTTGCAACTCATCTGAATAGTTCTCTACTGGGACCGCAGTAGCAAGCTCCTCAGAATTGGATTGAGGTGCTGTAGATGGTTTTTGCTGTTCCCCCTGCTGAGGCGAATCAGGAGCTCTACTGGAATAGAACGAATTATCGTCAAAGGAGTCGCTGGGCTCTCCATTGCCACGGCCATCGGCCGACGGAGATGGGTTGACCATCTCGAAGGCCTTGACGAGCACATCAGAAACATCGAAGTCCGGCTTCGCGTCCTGTAGAGCAGCCTTCTGCCTTGACTCCTGCCTTTTTTGCTCCAGCTGCTCCCGTAACGCCCTTTCCACCCGTTGACGCTGTAGCTGTAGCTCAGCTCGCACGAGATCGTCCGACTTCGTCAAGAAGATCGGATCAATTTCCGAGGTAGGATTGGGGATGATACGCGACGCCCCCGTCACACCCGACGAAACCCCCCCAATGCCACCGCTCTGAGAGTTGGCCGGTTTAGCATTGGAAGGGGCGGTCGGGACCTGATCCTTGGGAGAAGCCTTCTGCCATTCTCCTGGCTTTACCTGAGAGGGAGTAGAAGAGGCAGGGAGGTTGCGCGAAGCCGTCTTGCGCACAAATTGCCGAGGAACCTTCAATCTAGGGTGAGTTCCAGAAAAGATTTCGTCACTTATTTTCAGGATCTTCTCATACTCCTGCACCTCCTGATTTGATGTAGGTAGCCTAGTAGGTGCACTACTGCCTGATGTTGAAAGCTGAGCTGCTGCCATAATTTAGGAAAAATGACTCTCCTAGGCAAGAATTATGTTGGCCGTGAGAGTCGATAGATCAAATCACCTGAGGTTTAAAGCGAGCAAGTTCTGCTGCGTCACCCGTGCAGGTTGCAATCTTTGATTGCGGTATAAGTAGGACAGCTTCGCCAATAGACTTGGACTAGCTAGAGTCTTTTTTTTCTCTTTTCCTTTCTCTTTCTGTACTTATCTTTCCTTTTTTTTGTGCTTTTTTAACATGTATAAGGGAGAGTGGGGAGAGGAAGGGAGAGGAAGACAAAGTGTCGAGCCAAAGGTGAAGTTGCGGAGAGGGAAAAGAAGGACGCAGCCAGCCGTGCTGTTACGAGTAAGTTATTCGAGTAACTTGCCGCCGCACGCGCTAAACTCGCCGGGGAAAAGCCGTTCTTGATTCTCCCCGACTCCCGAGACAACGAGTCATCATCCATCTTACTGAACGATTGCAGTATTACTCATATTCAAATCATTAACTAACTTACCATTCACGAACTCCCCTTAACCACGGCGCATAGGGTTCGGCTATGAATCGTCCCATTCTACGCGCCTGTTATCGATCATCTTTTATTTCTAGCGCATATCCCGCTACCCAGACCCTTTTCTCGACCCCGCGATTTCTGACTCCCCTCCGCGCTGTTCCAATCCCTCGGAATCACCGCCAACTGCCCCAGTCCCGACGAACCATGACCACCACCACCAACAATCACCAGTCGGCCAGCGCGCCACGGGATCCCAGACCAATCTTCTTCTTCGACATTGACAATTGCGTACGATCTCCCTTCTCAACATCCCCATGGGTTCACGTTGACTGACCGCCGTCCCCACTCAATGACTGCAGCTGTACTCCCGAGGTATACAACACCGAAATCTCAACTCCACCATTCCACGAAAGTAAGCCGAAACCAACTAACCGGGCCCCGCGATCTGCGCGCGCACAGAATGCAACATTCACGATGAGATGCAAAAGCTGATCAGTGAGTTACACCCATAACTACAACTACAACACCGACAACCAACAACCAACAACCACAACCACAACTCGAACCCCCACGCTCAACCACTCACTGTACTGTACACCTCACTAACCGAAAATCCAATCTCCTTTGCACAACAGACGCCTTTTTCATCAAGCACCTCTCCCTCAGCACCGAAGATGCGCACCACCTGCACATGAAATACTACAAGGAGTACGGGCTGGCGATCGAGGGGCTCACGCGGCACCACAAGATCGACCCGCTCGCATTTAACCGCGAGGTCGACGACGCGCTGCCGCTGGACGAGATCCTGAAGCCCGACCCGCAGCTGCGCCGGCTGCTCGAGGACATCGACCGGAGCCAGGTGCGGCTGTGGCTGCTGACGAACGCCTACGTAACGCACGCCAAGCGCGTCGTCCGGCTGCTCGAGGTCGACGACCTGTTCGAGGGCGTCACGTACTGCGACTACTCGCAGACACCCCTGGTGTGCAAGCCCAGCCAGGTGATGTACGACAAGGCCGAGCGGGAGGCCGGGGCTTCGAGTTCGGGGGAATGTTATTTTGTCGGTAGGTTGTCTTTCGTCCCTGGCGTATTGCCTTGGACCTTGGAAAGGAAAAAGGGGTCATGCTAATATCTTCGGGATTGATTGGTATAGATGATTCCGGCTCAAATTGCAAACACGCGGCGGAGCGCGGCTGGGCTGTGGCCCATCTCGTCGAGCCGGGCGTCCCCGCCCCTCCCGAGCCGGCTTCCCAGTTCCAGATCTCCAGCCTTGAGGAGTTGAGGACTTGTTTCCCTCACTTGTTCAAGCGGTCCTGAGCCCTTTTTCTCGTGATTGTATAGAAGCATTCCTTCTTCTTTCTCTTTTCGCTTATAGCATAGACTTTTCATATAATTACACGGCCCACGGGCCTTGAAGACGCTATGAAGAAGACGAATGACGCTGTTTGATATCAGATTCCTGGGTGCTGTTTGGCTTTGAATAAACAATATATATCAATCAAGTATGGGCAGCTCCAAGTGACGTTACTGCAGCATTATGACTAAACATCCAAGCTGAGCCCACTGTCCCCTCCATCGGACCCAGTCTCTCCATCTTCCGTCTGTATAAAACGAAACCAAGAACTTTCAGAACCCGCACAGCCCTGACCCATTCAGATACTTAACCGGATAGAAGACCTTGGGCGCGCCTCCGACGAAATCCACCGGGATCACGCCGCCCGTCGCCGAGACGTGCCGCTCACAGCCGAGCATCTCCATCACCTCGGTGCCCGGGTGATACATCCGCGTCACGTTGACCTGGTAGTTGCCAGTGGCGGTGGTACTGCCGCGGTTGGAAAACGCCGAGACGATTTGCATCCCCTCCGTGCCCTTCCGGGTGATGTAGGTGGATCCGTCGAGGTAGAGGGTCTCGCTGTGGTTGGTTGGGTAGCCTTGGTCGATGAGCAGGGCGTGGCTGCGTAGGTGGTTGAGGGTCTTGGTCAGGATCGTGGTCGTTGTTGTGGAATTGTCGGTTGGCAGGGACCAGAGGGGGGAGTTGGGGGTGGCTTGGTTGTGTTCTTGGCCTTGGTAGACTGGTTTGTGCCGCGGGGGTTAGTATGGATTGTTGGTGGTTTGGGAAAATGCTGGGACTGGGCTTACCCATGGGGATTCCGTCGGTAAGGAGAGTGAATGCTAGGGCGTTTTGAGCAAGCTGGATCATGTTAGACTGGTATGAGGTTTCAATTATGCGCTGGATAGAGAGGGGGGATGGGGACGGGGATAGTCTTGAGCATGCGGGTTGGGCGAGCTATGCACTGCAGCATAACGTCTACGTGTATATGGGCCAGTCGGCGATAGGGAGTAGGAGGAAAGGCTTACTGCGGTATCATTTTGGATGGAGACAAACCGCGGGACATCGTGATTCTCGGCGAACGTCGCCAGATGGGTGTAGTTGTCACACTTCTCGATGGCCGTCTGCAGACTGTTCACCAGCCCAGGCATGTCGCCGGCGGGCGCGAAAGCCATGGTGATGGGCTTATAGACCGCGTAGTTGACCAGGCCCGAGACCGCCTCGTCGTACTGGCACATCGTGGTGGCGTCGACCGAGTCAACCTCTCCCAGCGTGAAGACCCCGGCGGCACGGGTGAAGCCACTCAAGAATTCGGGGTCCATGTGGTTTGTTGCAGCGACCCGGAGCCCGTCGATGGAATAGTTGCTCACGAGTTCCTGGACCCAAGTCTGGAGCATGGTCGAGACGCGCGCGTCTTCGGTCTTCAGATCGGGCAGCGCGACGGGCTCGCTGGACAGCCAGCAGCTCTGACTTGTGGTTGCATCGCCTGCCTCGCTGACGTTGCAGTAGGGATGATAGTAGCCCTCTTCGTTGAAAGGGTGCAATCGCGAATAGTCGATCACTGAGGAGGTGACGGTAGTGTTGTCGGTGTCGACGGCTTGCGCCATGTTGTTGAGCACCACTTCCACCATCAGATACATGTCCCGTCGGTGTAGCTCATCCGCCAGCGCTCGCAGGTCTTCGGCTGTCCCAAAGTGCGCATTCAAGGCGTACAGGTCTTGCGGCCAGTGGCCATGCCATGCCTCCCCTGCCGATGTGGTCTCGGGGATATTCTCGACGACTGGAGAGATCTGGATTGCTGTAAATCCTAGGTCTTGAATATAGTCCAATTCGTCGATGATACCGGCCCATGTACCCCCGCAGTATTTGGTGGGATCGCATGATGTATCTGGTGCGTTATTGGGGCGCGCGAAGCGGTCGGTCAAGACTTGCTAAGGAGGGGATGAGGATGCTATGCACAGTGGAATCAGAAGGCAGAGAGACATACATAGATCGATCGCTGTGCCCAGTCATCGGTCGAGGGAGCTGCCAGTGCTAGGCTGGCTATTGTGGTTAGAAGTCCACCTGTGTACATGAGGCGGGCCATCTTGTACAGTCTTGCTGGGAAGATTGACCGATGTCTGGTGGTGTAGAGCTGGAGGAGAACTCTTAGGTATTTAGAGGTCCAGTGGATTCGCCGGCTGAATACCAGAACAAGCAGGAAGCGATCGTGATGTGAGGAAGCAGAACTCTGGCTCTCCCCGTAAAATTGCTGGATACTGCATCTTATATATGGTAGTCGAGCCCTTGCTGTTTAGATACAAATACTAGTAGTACTAAGGCTTCATCTCATCAATGAGAGTAAGATGTTTGGGTTCGCCCCTCACCTTTTGGGTGAGACAGACGTGCATACAACAGTATGAAAACCAGGCAGCTCAGCCAGTGGGCTTCAAGAATGTGGCAACAGTAAGGGATGGAGAAAAAAGAAGCAATGTACGGAGTAGATTTAAATTATGTTGTTGTCGGCCTCGAGCCGTAATGCGGAGGATGTCTGTGCATGCCTCAGGCCCATTAACTTTACCCCTGTCGCGTCCTCAGGCCTCTCTCTAAGGCTAGCAACAATCAATCCACTCTCCGTCCCGTCAACAACAATAACGAAGTACTCCGTACCAACTTACCATCTCCATTCTCTCCCCCTCTTCCATCCTCTCTCCCCTCCTCTCTCCTCCTACTAGGGCAACTCTGCGTCTGTACAGGGTCTCCCACCCTGACGCATGCTTCAAGATGGCTGAACTAATCACCGGCCATGTGGTCACGCTCACCGACGGTCGGCAGGCCACCGTTCGGTTTGTGGGCACAACACACTTCGCGCCTGGCGACTGGGTAGGCATTGAGCTCGACGAACCCACGGGGAAGAATGATGGCGCCGTACAAGGCGAGAGGTACTTTGACTGCGAGCCAGGATTTGGCATGTTTATTCGTCCAACTGCCGTCGACGCGATCATTGAACAACCGCCCGCACGGCCACCACCCAAGCCCGCCGCTCCGAAAGCTATCACCACCGCTCAACCCACTCCGGCCCGAGGCAGAGCTCAGAGCGGCATTGCCGCTGGCCTCAAGAAGCCCAATGCGATCGCAACCGCCAACACCAAACGACACAGTGCCGGTGCGGCAAGCCCGCCTTCCGCGCTGCGAGGCGCCGCTCAGCGCTTGTCAACAAAGGTAATGCATGCATGCCTGCGGATGGGCTGGTCCGGAGAACTCTCAAGCTAATGGCTGGCGCTTGCTATAGTCTCCTACGAAGTCTCCGACGAAGCAACTGTCGGGATCTGGGCTTTCCTCCAATCGTTCCTCTCTTAGCAGCACTCCGCGACCCGCCGCAGCCACCCCCAAAGCTCGCCCGTCTATTAGTTCCAAGACATCTATGCCCCCTCCGCCGCTCCCATCAACAATCAATCGCGCCTCTCGCTCTTCGATATCAACACCCGCATTCAAGACGAGAAGACCGAGTTTGCACGCTACCGCATCTGCGCCGACGGGGCTGGCGAAACGTCCTGCAGTGCGACCAACGGTCCCCGGCAGAGCGTCGGAAGATGTGGAGGGTGAAACGAGCCCTCTGTCAGAGGACCCAGATGCTGAAACACTGGATGTCGAGGGCGACGGGGATCAGGATGACCCGGGTCTCAGGTCTGCTAGGCCTAGTCCGGGCGCCTCACGGACAGTGAGTGGCAGCCAAAAGCAGCCACAGCCTTCGTCGCAGCGTCTTTCGACCGGTGGCGCTGTATCGCGAGAACTTGATGAATTGAAAACCAAGCTTCGAGTAATGGAGAAGAAACGAGCCGACGATCGCGAAAAGCTGAAGAACCTAGAGCAATTGCAGTCGGATCGGGACAAGTTTGAGAGCATCATCCAGAAGCTGCAAGCAAAATACCAACCTCAGCAGCTCGAGATTGGCGAACTACGCAAGAGATTGAAGGAGTCGGAAGCTCGGCTGGAGGAAGTCGAGCGCCTTCAAGCCGAACATGACTCAATCCTGGAAATGGCTACGTTGGATCGTGAGATGGCGGAAGAAACGTCCGAGATGTTCAAACATGAATGTGAGACACTGCGACTGAGGGTTGAAGAGCTGTCGCTGGAGGTCGAAGTCCTCCGAGAAGAAAACGAGGAGCTTGGACAGGCCATGACCCCCGAGGAAAAGTCAAGCCACGGATGGCTGCAGATGGAAAAGACGAACGAGCGTCTCCGCGAGGCCTTAATCCGTCTTCGCGACATGACTCAGCAGCAGGAGGCCGAGCTGAGAGACCAAGTCAAGGAGCTCCAGCAAGACCTTGAAGACTATACAGCTATCAAATCTCAGTATGAATCGACGAAAGAGAAATTACTTGTGTCCGAGAACAATGTTGAGGATCTGAAGCAGCAGCTTGAAACCGCGCTGGGCGCCGAGGAGATGATTGAAGAACTGGCAGATAAAAACATGCGCTACCAGGAAGAGATCAACGACCTCAAGGCTGCAATCGAAGATCTGGAGGCATTGAAAGAGATCAACGATGAACTCGAATACAACCACATAGAAACAGAGAAACAGCTTCAGGAGGAAATCGATTACCGGGAGAGTCAGTGCAATGAACAAAACCGGAGAATTAATCAACAGGAAGAAGTCATCGAAGACCTCGAATACACCTTGGTCCGTTTTCGAGAGCTGGTCTCTACCCTGCAAGGCGACTTGGAGGACATGCGCGCATCGCAGCAAATCTCCGAAGCGGAAGCTACCGATCTCACCACGCGCTCTCGTGCCATGATGGACCTCAACTTGAAGCTTCAGGCATCCGTTTCCAAGGCGCAAACCAAGACAATCGATATCGAACTTGGTCGTATGGAGGCGGAAGAAGCAACGCAGCACTTGTCAATCCTCAAATTGTATCTCCCAGAGTATTTTGACAGCGAGCGTAATGCTATCCTTGCGCTTCTCCGGTTCAAGCGTGTCAACTTCAAAGCCTCGTTGATGAATAACACCATTCGCGAAAAGGTTGCAGAGCAAGCCTCGGTGTCTACCGCAATTGAAGAGGTCTTTGTGGCGAGCGAAGTAATGGAGAGGTTACAATGGATTGCTGCTCTCTGTGATCGTTTCGTCAACTACATCAACACCTGTTCAGC